GGCACAAGCATTCTGTTCCGTCTCAGACATAACATTCCTGTAGGGAGGCCATCCGTAGCAGTCGTGGGTTCGTGGGTAATACTAATCACACTGGAGAGTGTATTGTGCATGATTGTACAGGACAATGTATTTTAGCAAGCAGAAGAAGAATGCTCCTGGAAGTGGAGGTTCCTGTTCTGCTGTAGCCTAGAAACGTGCGTTCGTTATTAGTCTACAGCCCACCGCTTTGTGTCCTATGGATGTCTGAACGGTTTCCTATGGATTGTTAGCTTATGGAGGCAGGGTATAATCTGCATTGTCTGCCCAGGGGGTCGTTATGATGTGTCTGGTGCGCGTGTTGCTCCTACTCCACTCAATATTCTACCATGATTTCCTGTTCGCCATACAGTGTGTTGACTGTTGTTGTTTGTGATTCTCAAAACCTGGGAAATCGATGACCTAGAGTTTAGCTAAACTGCGACATGTATCCGTCTTGTCTCGGTAGGATTCTGTCCTCATTGATCCCCACATTGGATTAATGTTGTCTTGCTAAGCATAATCATACACAAGTGACATCCTGGTAGAATGGTGTCCTCCAAGATTGAAGTCATGTTGTGTAACTGTTGCCTACATAAAATTAATAACGTTTCAGGCCTTTGGGGTCTGGAACGTGACACAAGCTGGGAAAAGAATCAAGAGGCGTGTTGCCATTTATCCTGCTAGTAGCAGAAAGCTTGAGAGTGGAGCAGCAGCTGTCAAATGTTGACAGCAAGTAGCCATCTTCAGCCAGGTAAATACAACAACAATAGTGGTACATGTAGTGCGCGCGCGCGCGTGTGTGTATGTGTGTGTGTGTGTGTGTGTGTGTGTGTGTGTGTGTGTGTGTGTGTGTGTGTGTGTGTGTGTGCTTTTGTCCGTAGTCACAAAGCTTCCTTTTCAAAGAAGAGGCTACCTGAAAGGAAAACAAAATTGGTGACAGAATGAATGGTGCCCCCGCACATAAAGTAGAGAAAGACAACAGGGAGAGAGATACAAAGTTGCACTTCAGCGACAGGCCTTGCAATCTAATCTGCTCGTTCATTTGTTTGCGACTGCGCAAAATTAACATTGCAACAACATGATGAACTACCCACAGCATTGTACAAGGACAATATCAAAACACGAGAAGTTCTGCATTTTTCACGTATCGCATTGTCGGTAGGCCCCATAAGAAACATTTTGAAACTTCCCTTTTCCGTCGCTATCCCCGGGCTAGGCCGCGGTTACGTAGTTCAGGGTGGGAACACTCATGCATATGTATCTGTGTGTTGAAGGCGGAAGAGAACTTCCTTTCTCTCTCTCGAGCCGTTGCTACTTTAACCATTCTCCCCAGCATGGAAGGGATACGTGGGTGGGAGAGGGGTGTAGGCTGGACAGGAAGTTATCACGTGATCTCGACCGCAGATAGGGTATTCTACACAGCTATGGCCGTATGGGGTGTCTGGCAGTGCAGATGAGCTGCTGTTCGGAACGGTCTGCTGTGCTGCACGTACGTAGCATTATGCAAAAACACGTAGAACCGTTTGTCTTCATGATCTGTTAGTTGGGAACTCCAGCGAAAGGTGATCATTTTCCTCGGGATCTTTTACCCTGCGGCTGGTGGATAATATTAGTTAAATTTAGCATCTGCCTGGAAAATGCCCTCCACCGCCATTCCCACCCCTGCCCAACATTGAAGCTTCGCCTGTAGACTGTTTTCTCTGTGCATGTGCAGAAGTTACAGACAACCCGGGCGTGTAGTGTTACGGATACGGTTCTCTCGTCCGGCATTCCATGCAAGCCCCATGTCCATAGGCTTACAGAAGTACAGGAGATGGCACTGTTATGTGTGTGTAGAGTTGCGTGCCCGAGAACGTTGTTTTCGGTGGTTCGTATAATCCAATGTTCTCATTTTCAGCAATCTGGCTGCGTTCGTAAACAGGTTTTTGGAAACAACTCGTACTTTGGCGTAATTATGACATATCGTATTGTATCTCAAATGCAACACTGCCGTTCTCAATTTGAGGCCGTGGTGTTCTGAGCATTTCGAGCTGGGTGTTCTTGGACTAGCTCTGATTGTACTCAAAGGTACTATGTAGTCAGTACAACAAGTCACATACAGTGTGTGTGAGGGTTGCCTAGAAACAACGAGCGGCACGGAGCGCAAAAGTGCAACTTACCAACCGATTGGTGCATGCATCACGAAACCTTAGCTCAGGAACACAGTAACGTGTGGGTAGCTACCGGGTGGGCATAACTTTGAAAACTCTGACAGCCGGATAAAACACTGTTTCTGATCGAGATGCAAACCAGACCCGGTCGAGCGTTGGGAGAAATCCGATGCGCGCCTTCAAGGCTGAATGCGTCCCGGCTGTGTGGGAACCAGACGTGCAGGAAATTAAACATCTTATCCTGTCGAGTTGACATACCATTGAATTCTGGATTAGGTTTCTGGCTATCACATGCCCTTGCAGGAGGATGCGTATTTTTAGTTGGCGTGCCGTTTGTACAATGACTATGTGCGTCACAACCTGTCAGAGCACCTAAATAAGGAAGAAGCACCCATGAGAAGTGAATTGTCATGCAGAGTATCGTGTTGTGCAATTCATTATTTTTGTTGAATGCTGAGCTGGTCTGTACCGGCCGGGTAGATCGGGTGACGGCAATATGGAATGAGCGGTGTGTGTGTGTGTGTGTGTGTGTGTGTGTGTGTGTGTGTGTGTGTGTGTGTGTGTGTGTGTACGTGTGGGTATGTGTGTGTGTGGGGGGGGGGGGGGGGGGGTGGGAGTGAGCACACATCTGTGAAAATGTAGTCATGACGCTACATGTATGCTAAAATGATAACTACGGTGGACAGCAATGGCAAACCATTGCACAGTGCTTGACAAACAACAGTAACTATTGCTTGGCACACCTGCCTTTTGCATGACCAAAGTTGCATCATACCACTCATCAAACCATTGTGATGGCGTCGCATTAATAAAGGCAGATGCATGTATTGATCGCTACGGAGAGCTCTAAAAGGCGCCGGTATCACAAAGCGTCCGTATGACAAAAAAATGGTGATGTCACCGTGAGTCGGACGCACTGTGGATGAATCACCATAGCCCAGCATGCCTATAGACTAGTATTACTGGTGTAGAATAGATAGCAGCTGAACACCTCAATGCCCATAAGCAGATGAACTCTGTGACACCAGCAGATGGTGCTGGCACAATTATTCACAGTCTGGTGTCATGCAGCATGGTTACGGCTTGAAGTGGACACAAACATTACAACACGGTGTGTAATGCACACCCAGCTCCATAAATGCACTCGCAATGGCATCATTCGCGTTGCACAATATTTTAATGTCGACTGATATAGTCATTCGATAACATCATTATTGACAAATTTACTGCACGGCATATGCCATCGAATGACAAAGTCAGTCGACACTGTTTGTGTTCTATAGCCCAGTCTGCTATGGCGATTCGTTCGGACGTAACATTTAAGCAGAATACATTTGTTCGTAACATTAACCTGTCGTTAATGGGTGAGGGTGATCAGATAACTGCATCGTGTGTTGTCTCAATGGACCTGCTATTGTCTGGCATGGCGTAAGCATGAAAGGGCAGTTCGTTCCAGTTAGTCTGCCATTGTCTGGCGCAGTATGTAGATGCTGTGGAGCAGAACTTGAATTAGGCCAGTGAGTTGGCTGTGAATTAGGTACTGCCTCAACAGTGAATATCCAACAGACAACTAGAATAATGGAGGAGGAAAGGGGAGGGGGCAGTAACATAGAAAAAGCGGTACTGGAGCGTATGGCGTACAGCGGAAATATATTTACATACACTAGTGCCGTTTGATGAGTGTCTTCAGACACGAAACTACGAGCAACGGCAAGGAAGGACCTGGTTGCACTGTTGCTGTTGGTGACTTGTACCGTGGTAGATACACTACACTGTAGCGGGTGTTCAGGAGAATTTACTGACATGGCCACCGGGATAGTCTAGACACTCCAGGTATGCGTGCAAGAGTCGGCAAAACCGAGGAAAAACCTCTTGTCTGAGGCGACCATTAAAGTTGTACCAGAGAGATCAGTTCAACAGAAACCTCGCAAACAGTTAGATCCTGAGGGCCAAGCTCACCCCAGCAGACAAGACAGTCATGGTTCTAAGAATATTATTAAAATACCTGCACTGCCAGCGAAGCAGGATTTAGGAGAACGAGAGAACACACTAGACAGGGAGAAGCGAGAAAACGAGGCTGCCATCAGCCTGCCTCTGTGGCGGATCAGACCGGAAAGGCCCAAATGCGAATCCGGCTGCAGTGCGACACCAAGCTAAGCTGGCCATGGTGAGGTATGGCACTTGCTCGTGCAGGTACCAATCTAGCCTGGGAAAATCACAGTGTGCCAACGGGCTAGCCTTTCGGAACCAATGTGAATGAACAGGTGGTGACCACCTGTTCCGGTGTGCAGGTCATAGCTGAAGTATTCTTCTGGCACACGCAGTGCAAAGTTCCCATTAACCGGGTCATCCGTGAAGGGTTTTTGCCGCGCGCGGTGGGATCATGGCAGACAGCCGTGTCCGAATATGGACATAAGCATGCCTGCGAATATCGCATGCGGGTAACGTCTGCCCGGGAGGAGAGTTAGGAGCTTGCTTGTACGGGCGTCGGTGCGTGCCGGGAATGGACACGGGGTGCGTAATCGTGACACTGCATGTGCTCGCTCGCGACACAATCATTTCCTGTGCAGGCAGTCGCAAGACGACAGCGGTGTGTCGTATAAAAGCCGTGTCGCTTACTCGCATGCACACAGAACCATTGCAGAGAGAGCAAGGCAAACTTTGAGAGAGAGAGAGAGAGAGAGAGAGAGAGAGAGAGAGAGAGAGAGAGAGAGAGAGAGAGAGAGAGAGAGAGAAACAGTCAGACTAGACGTATTCCTAGCCACATTTAGGCTACAGTGCTACCCGTAGGAGTTGCGCTAACATGAAGACTGTGTCGTCCTGTTCCCTCAGATCTCTATCCCCGCTAGCTGCCGGAGGAGCAGCAGCAGCATCTGCTGTCACTCTCAGCGCAACCGGCAACAGAAGCAGCACGAGAAGTCTCAACATTGTACCAGGTCTACTTTGCAGCAGCAGCAACAGCAGCAGCAGCAACAGCAGCAACACGACCAGCAACAGCAGCAGCAACACCAGCAGCACAAGTATGGATTCGCCAGTCAAGCTGCTCAGCTACCGGCAGCGCATGTCGACACACATCGACCAGCAGCCCATGCAACTCCGCCAGTCATCCTCCTCCTCCGACTTCCAGTCCTCCGAGAGCTCGCGCTACTCGACGGCTGTCAGCAGCTCGGACGCGGAGATCAGCTCGGCAACACAGAGTCCATTGCGGCACCGGCAGGCATCCGGTGGCTCGCGCCGAAGCACGACGTCGTCATCGCTGTCGTCGCTGTTTCACAAGCTGAGCCTGCGCCGCTCCAGCACAGCGTCCAGTTTCGACCTATCGCCTCAGAGCGACCTTTATCGCCACGGCAGCCGTGCCGCTGGCTGCTGTGAGTCGTCGGACGAGGACACCATGCTATCGAGGCTGAAGAAGAAGTCCAAGAGCGTGGGCAACATGCGCCGTAAGAAGAAGACCGCCATGCGCCGCCAGCCGGCCACGTCCGACCTCATGGATGCGCCCATGCCGTCAGCGACGGCAGGGTACCATGGCGCTGCCGCAGCTGCTGGGTCGTCAGCCACGCTGCCGAGTCGCAGTAAGAGCCTGGATGTGCTGGCAGAGGCCGTGTGTCAGAACTGCCGACTGCAGTCGCTGGCCGCTACCGACTCCGGCATGGGCTCAATGTCGCTGACGGCGCCCACCGATAGCCCGCTCTGGCTCGGCTGGCATAGCTCTGAAACGGGCGCAGGCGCTGCTGCCGGCGGCCAGGGTGACTCAAACTTCCTGGCCCAGACCCATCTGGCCCAGTCCAATCCGGACCTGCTGACAGCCGACTACGCGGAGAGTCCGGTGTGTGACGAGGACGACGACGACGAGTCCTACAGTGTCGGTGTTAGCCACTGCAAGGACTGCGGGTGCTTGTTTCGTGAGCCGCTGCGGAGTAGTCCCAACGTGCGCGTCGAGTTCGAGCAAGACTACATGTGCTGATCTGAGTCATAGCACGTCGTGCTTGTGTGTGTGTGTGTGTGGTGTGTGTGTGTGTGTGTGTGTGTGTGTGCGTGTGTGTGTGCGTGTGTGTGTGCGCGCGCGAGGCAGCAAGCAAGCAAGGAGAATGGCAAGAGAGATGAATAGAGGGCATGAGTGAGCGTGGAATACACAGAGTGTGCTGCAAGCTTTTACAACTACGTCCTCTGTCCTTCTGAACGCTGGCTGGCGTGCACAGTGTCACGAGTGAGCAAGGAGAGCCATCTAAACACATGCTCCAGCACACAGTGACAAGAGACTTGCTGCACGGACACAAGTCAGCTTTCCTCACTCACAGCCTTGGTAAGACACGTATCTTGCCTAATTCTCCAAAATCCCGTTTTCAATAGAGCTTGACTAAGCTCTCCTGCATCAACCTTGCTTCATTTTTCATTTCTTTTTTTACCAATGGTCCAGACTATCAATTGATAACACGCCATTTTCTCGATCGATCTTGAGCCACAGCCAGCGCTGCTACGCCTGATTCAATTCAAATTTGTGCTGACAATTTCTTACTTGAACCGCATCCCTGCATGGCTGGAATTTCCGACCTATTTCCAAGAAATCACGGCTCCTTGAAAGTAATCCGACTATGCTCGTTGTCTGGGGCACAAATTTATTGCATTGCGAATTGTTGGTGTGACTAATCTTCACACTGATGTGTACACACCAATGCATGTGTAGAAAATAGCCAGAGCCGACGGGGGGGGGGCGGAAATATAATTATTGATATAGGCATATGTAGGAATATTTTGAGACCAAACATGTGACAGCGCATGCACAGACACAGCTGTCATAAAAAGATATACACAATGCCATCTGCATCTACATGCAAGTACATGTACAGTGCTGCTCAGTGAAATCCAGTCGCGTCACTCAAGTACGCGCCCAGTGTTGCACAGCCATGGACCTGCCAACACTGGGCTGCGAAATGGTGCAAGGCGCAAACTTGAGTGCCGTGACTGGATTTCATTGAGCAGGACTGTACTTTAAGCAATAATCAGGAGAATAGTAAAATATTGTACAACTCACTGACTATAATAATTGCTACAGGACATTTTCTTCTTTGCCAATTGCTAGTACATGGTAGTGATTACACGTCATGTAGTTAGAACCACGAGAACATCAAAGTAGGCCAGATGTGTACGGTATTATGGCAATGAGACCACATGCATGCACACCATTGAGAACATGAAAAACAAGGGCGAAAAGATTTTTTTTGAATGTCTACTTTCGGAAATGGCACTTACCAGAAAAACCCTTGCAAGTTGATTTACCGAAGCTCCCGTGACAACGGTAAAATAGGAGGATCTAGATATACTAACCAGCTCAGCGTACAGATAATTACGGTCTAGCTGCAAATATTGGTTTTGCTCGAACATGCATCAAAATCGCACGCGACCGAATCCGCAAGCATGGCAATAAGAATGTCAAGGAAGAGCACTCACACCAGACAGAATTCCATTGCTATTCGTCGGCATAGAGGCTCTTCCGATGTAAGCCAGTAATCGATTAAAAACAAGATTGATACATGGCACCAGGTCCAGTGCACCTAGCCTTAGAAATAGAAAGGAGAGAACAGCCTTTCCCCTTTCAGCCTTGTCTTTTTCAGTTTGAGAATTTTCCGAAACAACATGCTTGCCCAGAAGTGGATTCCTCGGATCCGCGCCGCGGCCGGAATGCAAAACGGAGATATTGATAGTTTCGGACTCTGAAACCGTGGAATTTGCGCCAAATCTTTCCCTTTTTGCATTGATGTCTTGGCAACAGGTCATAAACAATCTCAAATCTGGAATAACTGTCAAAATCTTTTCTCCAATCTGGGGAAAACCCCTTACAGGAGACTGCTGCGCATGCGCCGGGGACCGCCTCGAACCCTGGCAACGAGCGCAGTGTATGCTGCGCCCCCGAGCTCGGCTAGCTTTTGATCTTGCTGTCGAAAGGAGCAAGACGAGAAAGAGAGACATAATGTTGAGGACTAGCTCTAGGCTTTCACAGGCGGCCCGCTTCGTGAGCGCTTGCCGCCATGCTAGCACTTCTGATGCAGCATTTCGTCTGATCGATCCTCTGCCCAACACGGCACAGGTTGGACAGGTAGCTCCTCCAACTGAGCGTAAGGTATGTTGAATTTCGGGGGTACAAGTAATGTTTAGTCACAACAGGAACGACCAAGGTGCTACACTCTACTATCTTCATGGTTGAACTCCTGAAACGTGTGATAGACGTGCACATAAACCTTGTCAAAGCCCCAGTTTGTTCGCGAACTTATTTACTCCATTTCCGTGAGGATAGAGTAAAAATGCATAGAAAATTGTTTGATTTGCTGAGGCTGTTATACTATAGCACGGCGCGACACACGTCACAATCCTCGCACCATGTTGGCGATGGCGTGTAACAGTGTTACATGCAAGGGTGTTATCCGGAGAGGTCTCCACATTCTTGTTCTCCTCGAGTTACCCTGGAGTGGAGGCCATAAAAATTCCCTGAGTACTAGTATGACTACGTTGTACAAACTTTCAGAGTGAAAATTATCCTTCACAGCTTGCTTGACTGGCTCATTAAGAATAAGACATTATGCGTGTCATGCCGTTGATAGCAAGGTAGATCTACACTGTAGACGGATGATAGCCATGCGTACAAAGGGGTCAACAACATTCATTCGGTCCAACACACAAAGACTAAGATTAGTGATGTGTCCAACATGGAGGATGTGTGTGTGTGGGTGTGTTACAGACATTGTAGGTAGTTGTAAGAGGTGTGCATGCGATCCATGTCTACTCCTATTCAACCCCTGAGACGTCCCAATTCAATTTGACTCAGTGTACAATTTGTAATGTAGATACAAAAATAATATGTTGAGAATGCCCAGAATTTGGAAAATTCCCTTGTACACACGTGCACAAACACACACGCGTGCAGACACACGCACGCACACCACACACATGCACACACACCACATACCTACCTTGAAACTGGTGCCTTTAGAGGTTCTACAATTAGATCATAGTCGAGGTGGGTTTCGTAGGGAGTAGCGAAGTCGCAGCATGGCAATGCACTGGGTCAAGCGAAACTGCTGACTCACACTGTATTCGAATCTGCCGACCTGTGCCGTAGACATTGCACCCATGAGCGCATCCAGTGGCCCACCACCATGATGCAAAACACCGGTAATATAATTTTGTATAACCTCCATGGGTGATGTAGTGGCTCAAAGGGCCGGAAAGAGAATGGCTGTGGAATTTGTTGCATTTTGTTTTGGCCAAGGTACGATCAACACGAAAATTCCCATGGACAGATACTGCACGCGTCTTCACTCACGCGCACACACATACGCGCGCGCGCGCAAACACACACACATCTGTTTGACCTCTGGTCACTCTTTCGCCCAAGCTGTTAACTTGTTAGATATGCTCTCATGGTGTTATATTTCTGGCTCCACTCTTGTTGTTGCTGCTGTACACAGCTGAGTGAGTTTAACAACGGTATTTATGTGGCCGCCACCACTTCAAACTCTCCTCTTTGCACGGTCAACATTGTGGTGAAGGCCGGCAGCCGTTATGAGCTTCCCGGTGAGGAGGGCCTTGCTCACTTCATGCGCCGTCTGGCATACAAGGTAAGAAGGCACAGTGCGTACAACACATAGCGTGCTGTTCAACACGTGCGTACACGCAGACCTGACTGCTCAAAGCACCCCGGCATGCTTTGTCCTCACTCGCTGGTCTTTCCATTAACTTTGGCGATGCGAGTTGCCGAGAACACCAGTTGACCCTGGGCCGTGCCGTCCTCTGGGACACGTGGTTGCCCTAGTAGAGTGATAACCTTGGCAGGTAGTCAAACAAGAATCGAGATTGCATGGTACAGTGGTGCACACGAGCCCGGCTTTATTGACAGCTGGTCTTTCGTCACCAGTTTGATGCCTGGTCTCATAGACAGGTAGTCTTTTGTCACAGGTCTGATGCCACTGTAGTTTCAGACCCGAGTCAACAGGTTGCTAAAGACTGACAACGGGTCACCTATGCGGAACACAGGTTAAGCTGCAGCTTTTCTTTGAAAGGTCGCTCCAGGCCCGGCCACCAAAATAATTGATCAGTTTTACTAGCAACACTCACTGTTTATGAAACCCTAACAGTTGCTGCCATGATCATCTGTAAATGCGGGTCTTTCCCATTGTATTGCGCCCTCTTTGCTAAACTTACTGAGCTTCACCTTACACGCTGCCTACTATCTGCTGTGTGTGTGTGTCCTACCTTGTTCCACCTCCGTACAGTCCACTGACAAGCACACCGCCATTTACATGACCTGTCTGCCCCAGTGGTACGGCATGAAGCTTTCGTAAGTACCTGCTCTCTTTCTCTCTCTCTCTCTCTCTCTCTCTCTCTCTCTCTCTCTCTCTCTCTCTCTCTCCCCCCCCTCTCTCTCTCTCTCTCTCTCTCTCTCTCTCTCTCTCTCTCTCTCTCTCTCTCTCGCTGCATTTGTGTGTGTCTGTGTGAATCTCTGCAAGTGTGTGTGTGGTGTGTGTGTGTGACCTGTCTACGCTTTCCCCGCATTTACACGCCGTGTTGCCTGTGACTCTTCGCACCCTAGGCCCGAGCTCTTGCAGTTTCTGTTGCGTGTGGGCATTCTAAGAGTTGTGGTACCCCTCACTTACAATGCATACTGTTCTTCACCAGTGCCACCTTGCTTTTCATTGCCAATTTGCTAGGAGGTCTCGGGTGATTACTTCTCGCTCTTCCACGTTACCTACATCACTACATGGCCGTGCATTTTAGCCTTTACTCACCATTGAGTGTGTGTGTGTGTGTGGTGGTGGGGGTGACATTTGTACCTAATGGGTGGCCGGGGTGTGTGTGTGACATTTGTACCTAATGGGTGTCAAGTCATCACCCTTCCCAACCAATAGCTTTTTACTAGCGTGCACAGTCGAGTCAGTCTCATTTGCTCCTTTCAGAATTCATTGTGCTAGTTGTGTCTTGTAGTTCTCTTTTGAATGCTTTGGAGCTTCAAAGCCCTGACTCGAGTGTCACATTGCTGATACACCATGCTGTTGGCTGTATTTGCCGGATGCTCTCCTGGTCTGAGCTTCATCTCTATTGTGCGTAGGAAGTCTGTTTCCTGTGTTTTGCCCGGGCTGCGAGTAAATTTTAAATTTTGCCCAATCATGCTTGCTTGAGTAGAAAGCAAACATTTGTTTGTTATGTTTGTGTGCTTGCAGATGCACCGGTACTCGGGAGTCCATCGTCTATTCCGGCACCTGCTTGAAGGACGATGTGTAAGTACTGTGTTTTCACCAATTCTTGGTGTGCTTTTATTTTCGCTACTTTCGGTACATCTGTTTCATGCCAAACACTGTCAATAGCTTGCTCACACACTGGCACACGTAATCCAATAGGTGGCGGTGGTCATGCTTGCCAGTGAAGTAGCCAGTACATGAAGTGCTGAGAGCAATTTTTCTGTAAAGTTTACTATCTAGGGGGTTGTGGGTGCGCTGCCTGGCTCAACACACATTCGAAAGCATGCTCTATGGTTGTCACTGATTAGTGTGCATGAACGTGTCTTTCTGGTGTTGCTCTTTCTGCCATGCTACTGTACAGTGACAACATGTTGGACGTCATGTGCCAGACCATCGTTGCACCGAAGATCTACAACTGGGAGGTCGGTCGATGTACATTGTGTTCAGTTCTTTGCTACTGCTGGCCGGGGTTGCCGCTGCTTGTGGTGCTACTTCCTCCTGAAACAAAAACTTCGTGACTTTTTTCTCTGCTTTTGAAGGTGTTGCTGCGCTCGAAAAATCGAACAATACATTCAGGTTGACAGAGAGATTGGCCCTGCTTCATTATTCAGCTGTCTGTGGGTCTGCTCGTAGTGGCATTCAATGTACTAGCAGCCGTTGGTGGATCTCTGTCTCTTGTCCTTCATGCTTTGTGCTTGTTTTTCATTCCTTTCTTTGTCAGGTTCACTACACACCTGCTGAGCATGATGGTCTCACCGCTCGTCTCATCGATGCCCGTCAGCGTGTTGCACAGGACAACGGTGGCCTGGTCAACAACCGTGCTGGATGTAAGAACAAGCGCCTCTCTGTCCCTTTCTCTTTCTCTCTCTGTCTGTCTCTCTCTCTCTCTTTCCCTCTCTCTGTGCCTCTCTCTCTTGTTCTCTCTCGCTCTCTCTCTCTCTCTTTCTCGCTCTCTTTCTCTCTCCCCGTTCTCTCTCGCTCTCTCTCTCCCCGTTCTCTCTCTCTCTCTTTCTCGCTCTCTCTCTCTCTCTCTCTCTCTCTCTCTCTCTCTCTCTCTCTCTCTCTCTCTCTCTCTCTCTCTCTCTCACTCACTCAAGGGAGACACATTTGCCTTGTGCCCATTTTGCTGCTATTGTATCTGTCCTTCTTGGCTTTCAATTGTTTGTATCTGATCGTATTGTTTGTTTGCCTTGTCTGTGTGTGTTTCTCTGTTGTCTGTAGCTGTGATAAACGCTCTGCAGAACCACGCTTTCCGGTAAGCCCCAGTTCACTGAGGCTGTGCTGCTTGCTTCTTGGCATTACTCTATGACATGACCTTATATTACAAGTGGAACGTGAATGAATTCTAAGATCGTTATCTCCTCGTCTGCGTAGATGTGTGATACGTTGCCGCCGCCGCCCGCCCCCCCCCCCCCCCCCTTCCTCAGACCTTTCCCTTTTCATACCCTCAAACTATAAAAAATTGACCATCTCTTTACACATAGTTATAATTACAAGTTGTGAAAGTGTCAGTCATTGCTATGTGCAGCTCGGGCGGGGTAGTAAGTGCAGCATTAGTCCATTATCGCTCTTCTTCTAAACTAAAGCATGTTTTCATCTTCATTTACTTTCTGCAGTGGTGGTCTCAGCCAGTCCGTGTTCTGCCCCGACCATCGCGTCGGAAATGTCGATGAAGAGCACGTAAGCAACAATTCTCCTGTATTATGCACACATTCAGCAGTTCTCCTGTAGTAGGGATGTCAGCAAACGCACTGCGCAGACCTCTGCGCATGCATTGCGTCATCGATTTTTTGAACGTGATCGTGGCCGACAGAGAAAACATGGCCGCGGTCTGTTTGCACCGCTGGGAGTCGTAAAATTACTGTTCTTCTGTCCCCGCGACCATTCAAATCATACGCGATACTCGAGGACACACGTACTCACCACGTTCTCCCCGGTCGATTTCTCTGAAAGTTTGCACATCGTGAAACACCAGTATGAGAGGTGTTCAGGCCAATTTTCAAGGAATTTCCCTGGTTGGATCGTTCCAAAATCAGACTTGCATTTCTCGCTGGTGAGTAACCAGCTTCGCGCTTGGTAGAGAGTTGCTGCAATCAGCTCCCTGATGTCTTCGCTGCCATTGTCAGAAGCGATGGACCATGAATTTGTTTGAGAGTCTCTGGATGCTACTATTCCTCAGCCTAGTTTTCAGCCATTCCGTGCATCTTCTTCGCACGATTTATTTTGCAAAAAAATGAAAGTGTTCATGAGTTTTCTTGTCGGCCGCGCGTAGTGGGCCAGGCTGACCTGCGCAGATGGGCTGCGCAGTGCGTTCGCTGATACCCCTACCTCTAGCATAATTATGCACACATCCAGCAAGCGATAAATGTCCATGTTGTTGTTGTATGGCAGATGGCTGGGTAGTACCACTCATTGCCTCCATTCGCCCTTTCCATCTCTGTCAGCATGTAAACTTGGCTGATTACGGTGCATAGCTATCATACTCACCCGTTTAGAATCTCCTCTTGAATATAAAAGCCCCCTCCCCCATCCCTATGTGATGACTATGTTAGAGATGGACGCCCGTCTCAAACGAAAACCCCAATTCCAATGCTAGTAGTTCCGGGGTGGTGGCCCGTGTGACGTATTGATGGCAGTGCAGATCATAAAGGTATGCTGAGAAGATGAGAGCCGCTCTTGAATAGATGCCGTGTCAACGAGGGCATTTGAGCCAAGCCAAGCCTGCACTTCAGGCGACTAGTCCAAGATGGCGCATGCTGGTTGTGACGTAATACACAGGCAAAATATATGACGTAATAGTCACGTGATAAGACATGAGCATCATATCACATCAGTAGAAGGGCTGGCTTCCAATCCAGTGCTAATCTGCCACAGTAGTGCAGTAGAGGATTGCATAGTGAGCCAGGATACTGTGGGTTGCTTCTGGGAGTAGAGAGAGAGAGAGAGTCCCTGGGCCAGTGCTATCTGTAGGTTTGTACAGTGCTGGCAACTGAAATCTGATCACTGATGTTGGTGCTCGGGTGCAGCACCGATTCTAGTGGCCTCTTTTTGGTAGTGTACAAGCTCGTCCTGGGGTTTGCAATGTGAGCAGCGCACCCAGCTGGGGTCTGATTTCACTTGCCACCACTCTAGATGTACAGTGAACCTGTTTAAGCCCACCGCTCAAGGGACTTTCCTAATGTGGCCTCTCTGAACAGGTGGCCTCCTTGTCCAGGGTCCTTTGACTGTAAACACCATCCCGTGGTCCTCTAGGGCAGGTGGTTGCCTTGACAGGTTTTACTGTAATGTAATCTCTTTCTCGTTGTTGTCTCTCTTGTTGCCCTGGTTTGTCGCCCAGTGCGTGGCATACCACAAGCGTCGCTACCTCGGCAGCAACATTGGCGTGTTCGCCGCTGGTGTGCATCCCGACGACCTGGTCACCTCCGTCACTCGCCACGGCCTCTACAACCTGCCCAAGGGTGACCCTCTCACTCAGCAAGCACAGGGTGCCAGCAAGTTCACCACGGGAAACTATGAGAGCAGAATACAGACTGGCGACAGCACAGTCATTGCCGGCCTTGTTGGACAGGGTGCCAGGTAGGCCATCACCGAATGCAATGTGCTGTTGCTCGTGTTGTGTGTGTGTGTGTTGCTGCTGCTGCTGCTGCTTGTGCTGGTGCTGCTGCTGCTTGTGGTGCTGCTGCTGCTGCTTGTGGTGCTGCTGCTGCTGCTTGTGGTGGTGCTGCTGCTTGTGGTGCTGCTGCTGCTGCTTGTGGTGCTGCTGCTGCTGCTTGTGGTGCTCCTGCTGCTTGTGTTGCTGCTGCTGCTTGTGTTGCTTATGTTGCTGCTGCTGCTTGTGTTGCTGCTGCTTCTTTGGCTGGTGGCTGACTGTGTCCTGACGTATGTGTAGGTCCTCAGCTAGTGGTCGTGCTTGCCAGTGAAGTAGCCAGTATTGACCTTGCCAGTAAAATGTCAGTCAAGTTGAACTGCAATTAGTCGGTTGTGAACCTGCTGAATATAGAGAACCGCCATTATGGTACACCTCCAATTTGCCATACCGATCACTGTCATGTCCACCGCACTCTCTCACATGCCTTGGGATAGAGATAGTGCGGTTGTTTTTGCACAACATGGATTGTGCCATATTAATGGTGGAAGTGATCATCACCCATGTTGCCTGTGTGCTATGTTCTTTTTGAGCCCTTTGCTTCCTGTTTCTGCTACTGGTGTGCGTGTGTGTGTATGTGTGCACAGCCTGACCGACGAGAAGCAGCACATCAGCTCTCTGCTGTTCCAGCGTATGTTGGGTTCCAACGCTCCTCTGGAGAGCGGTGTCTCCACCTCCAGGTAAGTGGGAGTGATTCTGACATGACTGTTGATGTTCCCCCCTGTGTGTGTGTGTGTGTGTGTGTGTGTGTGTGTGTCTCTCTCTCTCTCTCTCTCTCTCTCTCTCTCTCTCTCTCTCTCTATCATCCGAGAGACCTTGGAGTTGTTTGAGAAGACTCCTGAGCATCTCTGCTACCATCTAGGTCGTTAGACTGTTGAATTACGTTTAGAATTGAGCGAGTTACACTCCTGTTAGGCACGCACTGCACAACAATAGATCGTGAACGGCCCAAGGGGTTTAGATCGTTGTAGCTGTGACCTGAAGATTGAAGATGGGCCTTGCCCGAAAGTCGGATATTAAACACTAGTCTTTATTACTGGTTGTTGTAGCCCAGAGACCGTCTGAAGAGTGTTGTGATGATGTGTGGCTGCGACCGTGAATGTTATCTGTGTATTGTTATAATTATGTGGTTTCTTTTGAACACCATCTGGGTGTGTTGTTTCTGTTTTAATTGTATTCTAACTAATTCTTTCTCACCGCGTTTCCTGTAGGCTGCAGGTGGCCGCTGACAAAGCTGTTGGCAGCACTGCCTCGGCTCCACCCACTGTCAGCTCTCTCAACATCAACTTCTCCGATGCCGGTCTCTTTGGCATGCAGGTCGAGGCTGGAAAGTCCGAGATCCGCGATGTAAGCCCCTCTCTCCTGCTTGACTATCAATTATTGGTCCTCTCTATCAAAGACAAAAGAACAAACTTTCCCACCGGTGTTCCTTCTTCTTTGATAGTATGGGCACAATATGTGGATACTGTTGGATGAAGCCAGCTGATCATATTCCTGCACTGCGTATATTCATACCGTTGCAGGGACGCTCATATCAGACTGGCTGTGTTGGATATGAAGGATAATGGCTGTGTCTTTTTCATCGTGGTGCACACAGATATTGTAGATGTGGTGGAGATGAGGGATTATTGTTGCGTCTTTTTCATGGTTGTCACGCCAGTGTTGAACGTAAACCATAATTTTCTTTTCTTTTTTTTCTTTTCTTTCAGGTACTGAAGGCGGCCACCGCTGAGTTCACCCGGGCCAGCTCTGGTGTCACAGAGAAGGAGCTCAAGATGGCCAAGTATGTCACCTTCTCATTGTGTGCTGCTGCTATGCCTGTGTCACAGTGTTCTTGGTGAATGCAGCTGCACTGGCTCGAATATGTGCATGGTGTGTGTGTGTGTTCACATGCTTCGCCAGTTGTGTGGATTAGGCAGTTATCTGGAGCTAGTTTGATCTGTTTCATTCAGATCTTGTCCACTACCTTTGCTAAGAGAACCTCTGCGGGTGCAGTGCATTTGCAGATTTGCGCGCTTCTCTTGCAACGGGCGTATGCATGGTACATGGTGTGTGTGGCACGACAGCTTTCCTGGGTTGTGCCGAGTCCAACATGAGCTTCCGAACACTAGCTATGCTCATCGCAAGGCCAGGATTGCCTGCATTGAGAAAGGCTACTAACTCGGGTCCAGCCTCGAGGAGAATCCATTCAGTGTGGTATCTACCTTTGAAAGTGACGTCACTGTGTTCTGTGCAGGTGCTTGTCTGGCTTGTTGCGTCCTGAAGAGCTCTGCCTTCTATAGTAATGCAGGGTATTTCCCTATTCCTGTCTGTGTGTTCTGCATACTAAGCACTCCGTCGCTGTGTGTGTTATGCCTTTGTCCCCCGTTTTGTCCATTCCAGGGCTCAGCTGAAGGCTGACCTTGCTGAGACGCAGGAGAGCCATGCTGGTATTGTGGAAGACATGGCATACCAGGTTAGTTACTCTCACTACACACCATGCCAAGGCTACACCAGAGTGTCCTACTCCGGCTATCGGGACAGTGCAGTTTGTCGCTTACTTAATTCTTGACGCCGAATACAGTAAAAACGGGTGTTACGCGTTGTACTGAAGCAGTGCGATACTGTGACCATCACGATTCCCATGATCCGTCACTCATGCTGTGAGCGATGAACTCCATTTTCCCTAACTGATATTGTGTTGTCCTACTTGAGATCCACTATGACTTGCTTATATACATGTAAGCTCAGACTAAACCCAAATGTTGACCGTGTCTCTTGAAGAGGTTTTGCCTGACCCTGTAAACGCCAGTGCCCAATGTAACAATGATGACTGTTGTCTCTCCACTTTATGCAGCCTGCTCCCACACGTGGTGCTGCTTTGACAGGTGCATGACTGTGTGTGTGTGTGTGTGTGTGTGTGTGTGTGTGTGTGTGTGTGTGTGTGCGTGTGTGTGTATCTGTCAGCCGGTGCTTTGTTTTGTCGTTAGGCATATGAATTTTTCCTTTCCCCTGTTCACACTGTGCTTGATAACTTGATTGGGTGTTTGTTTGTTTGTGTGTTTGTTTCCTCGTGTTCAGGTCATGTACCGTGGTGGCAAGTACCTTGTTCCCGAGAAGGTCGCAGAGCGCGTTGAGGCCGTTACACTCAAGGACGTCAAGAGCGTAAGTACAGAGCACCGGGGCTAAGGGGTATCTTGTCGCTCTCTCTCTCTCTCTCTCTCTCTCTCTCTCTCTCTCTCTCTCTCTCTCTCTCTCTCTCTCTCTCTCTCTCTCTCTCTCTCTCTCTCTCGCACGCCTTCACTTTGCGAATGCTGTCAGCAGTTCTGACACGACCATTGCATCTGAGTGGGTGGGCGGGCTGGGTTTGCTAGTATTTCTATTAACTAGCCAAGCACGTGTGTGGGCGTGTACATTCTGAGCCTGCATAGCTGCATAGCTTTCACACTTTCCTCCTAAACCCTATGATTACATGTACATGTACTTACCCATCTTCCTGTTTTCGCCGTGTTCCTGCGTGGATGGTTTTTGGTCTTCTCTTCCTGCTTCCTTTCTTGTGAAGTGCACTTTGGTATAGACAGAGTGTTTGTTGAATCTCCATTGATTCACTGCTTACTTGAATTGCCCTGTGTGTGTGTGTGTTGTGTTGGTGTGTTGCAGTTTGCCCAGTCTGTTGTTCAGAGCAAGCACGTGCTCGTGCAGCACGGAAACCTGAACGAAGCACCTCATTTGGATGAACTCGGCCTATAAGCGGTAGTGTTCTGTTAGCTCATTGCCTTCTATAGCTCTTGTTGCTGCTGCTGCTGCTCGTCACCACCGCTATTTTGCCCCGTAGTCTCGTTGTGAACTTGTTCAGCAGTGTCCTCTGCTGCCTGTGTCCTCCTCTCCCGTGCCATCATCATTATCATGAAAAGCTCCGGCTGCTTGTCGGGCTTGTTTCTATTCTTTCCGCATCCTTCATCTGTTTCTCTAGCTCTTTCTCTCCTCGCTCGTCGTTGCTAAATTGTACATATTTTTCTCTCTCTCTTCGGTATGACATTTGATTTATGTATGAAATTATTTAAATGATGTGAACCAATTCATGCTCGGGTATAGAGCTAGACCGGATCTCTCTGGAGCTGATATGTCGTGCTGTATGGTTCACTCCACTGTGCTGGGACGGCCGCTCAGTGTGGATTTGACTTATGCTTGTTTGAGTTTGCCGTACCGGTATGATCTACCGGTAGCTGTTGTGCGCAGGTTTACAGCCTGTCAACGTCATGCAGTTACTCTAGATTGTGAGTCCTTCTTGTGTGTGCTCATTTCTGCGCACACTGTTTACTGTTTTGCTTGTGTGTACTGCATGCAGTGATGCAGCATTTATTATGTAATGCTGAAGGCATCAGACGCTCTTGTAGATCATAGGTTTGTGATGTGTCACTTGGGTGGTTTTTTCCTCTAGCCTTGGTCAATGATCCTAAATTCGATGCGAAACCCTTCTTCGTTGGGAGATAATTTAATGATCCATTCAAATGCCATGCAGAAACCAGCGCTAGTTTCGTCACCGGCATTTATTTTCTTGACTTCGTTTCATTTTCGCGCTGAAATTAGCGCCGGTTTCAGCGCTAATTTCATTACCGTGATTTTTCCATTTTCGCGCTGAAGTAAGCGCTAATTTTAGCAACGTGATTTATTTTTTCTGAACTTTATAATTTTCGCGCTGCTTTCAGCGCTAATTTTATCGCGATGATTATTTTCGCACTGCTTTCAGCGATACTTTCAAGACTGTGATTTTTTGTTGATTTTTTCCATTTTCGCGCTGAAGTTAGCGCTAATTTTAGCAACGTGATTTATTTTTTCTGAACTTTTTCATTTTCGCGCTGCTTTCAGCACTAATTTTATCGCGATGATTTATTTTCCAGCAAATTTTCATTTTCGTGCTGAAATTAGTGCTGATTCCAGTGCTAAATTTCATCACTGGAAATTTTCTTCAGTGATTTCCACGCTGAAATTAGCACTAATTTCACCACTGAATTTAGTACCTTTGATGGCAATTTTTCAGCGCCAGGATTTCGAGAAGTTCCAAGTATTCACCATGCGAGAGAAAAGTATTCCAAAATAGACGCGCGTACGCGGAGAGTTTATTCCTATTTTTTCATTCATGGCTGAATACTGTGTGCATGTGACAGATGGCGGAAAACCTCAGTGCAATATTGCTCAGGGAGGTATTAATTTAGGCGCTACTTAGCTACTTTACGGCGTTGTGATGTAAGATACTGGACAGAAAACCGCCTTGTCTTGCCTTTTGCTTGTGCAATTGTTGGATGGCTTTCATGTGGACAGGGAAAGGGTCATACTAAAATTATTATTATTAGTGTGTACATGCATGCATGCGTGTGTATGTGCATGTTATTATTACACTGTAATGACATGATTGTGTGTATGTAGTGCGATTAGTATACCATGCATGCAGTTCGTACATGCATCTGAGAATCTTGTGTGGATACTGGATACAGTGGGTAGGTCAGCAAAATATACATAATGTATACGCAAGAGCAAGTAAGCTCCTAAGCTCATCAATAATAATTACTCTTGCTATAATTTTTTTAAATTAAAAGAATATACAAGCAGCAGTTGATGAGAAATGAAGGAGAAAGCATGCATTTTTCGCCCGGCTAACTTACAAATCAGTATAGCTGTTTTTCATCAATGCCAGTGATAAACAATAGTGATGGGATGTAGCCAGCACGGAAAATGATTAGTTTTATCATGTAACATTGTTATCTAAGCTATTCTGTTTGATATAATAATTATAGTATTCAGTTCAAGAGGGGGAGCAGAGAATGAAGTCTGCAAAGGTAAATCTTAGATTCCAACTCGCTCGCAGTGTAAAATTCGCAGTTGGAAAGCTGCTGGGGTTCTTTCCGTGTCACCAACACAAGCCATGAATACAGCAATCAAATCGGTACGCTAGACAGGCAATCAAATATTTGCACTATCATGTCCATATACTTGATTTCATAAAGTTGCGTATATTTGCCGAATACTTCGCGAATGTTTGGTTTACAATTCTAGAATTCAGCTACTTCGCAGTACACTATTACGTCTTGATTCCCAATGAATTCCAATGAATAGTCATGGTCAGTGCTGCTGAGATGTCTAGCCCTCCTGATCTCAATAATTATTGTGTGACGAAAGCAGCAACTCCTCTATGTGGTGGTCTTTTCGTACTGTTGTCATTATGCTCCGCAATATACAACGCGACTCGCGTCGAATGCGTACATCCTGGTGCTTTCAGCAGACCCGGAACAACACCAGCGTGGAGACCAGGGTCTCGGCCACGACGACCAGCGCGCTCAGCGATACCACCATCAGCACCGAGGCCTGATAGGCTGGTGCACATGCAGACGTGTCCGTCTTCTTGGTCTCGTTGTGGGGCGTGTCACCGTAGAGGCCGCCACCGCCACCGATCAGAACCGTGGAGTTCTGCTTGGAGGCTGTAGAGTTCTTATCAGCAACTTTACCCTTGCTACTGTCAGTGGTACTGGTTTTGGATTCTGTTGCGGCGGCCTCACCACCGGCAGGGAATGCGGTTGGATAGAGGTCAGGGAAGAATTGCTGTAGAAATTAGGAGAAGTCCGGAAGGAGGCAACACAGGAGAGAAGGAGAGAGAGAGAGAGAGAGAGAGAGAGAGAGAGAGAGAGAGAGAGAGAGAGAGAGAGAGAGAGAGAGAGAGAGAGAGACAGAGAGAGACAGAGAGAGACAGAGAGAGACAGAGAGAGACAGAGAGAGACAGAGAGAGAGAGAGACAGAGAGAGAGACAGAGAGAGAGACAGAGAGAGAGACAGAGAGAGAGACAGAGAGAGAGACAGACAGAGAGAGAGAGAGAGAGAGAGAGAGAGAGAGAGAGAGAGAGAGAGAGAGAGAGAGAGAGAGAGAGCACCATGTTCTCGTTAACTGAAATGTGCATTTGCACATTTCACCATACAAGGCTGAATGTTCAGTTTTACCTTGTAGGAAAGATCAATGCATTCGCAACGGAGGTGCCTAACCCAACATTTCACGAAACATGCAAGTCGAGCCAGACTTGCAAGTTGCAATGTTCATTGCAAGCCCAGGCCAGCCTGTTCACTGGCTTTCACGTCACGTACATGCACTGGTAGTGACAACGTACACTCTGAGTAGGCGCCTACAGTAGGCGCCTACCAAAACTATTTTTAATGTTGCATTCTCCTAGACTCATCCTTTGTGATTATGCTCCAGTTCGACACGAGTCTCTAAGCAACATAAAGGAGGTGGCTTTCCAAGTTTCCACACAAGTCTCCGTATCTTTAGGACCAAGGGGGCTTCGAACAAAAGTCTCTTTAGGAACGTAAATTGGGTTTTCGACACAAGTCTCTTCAGGAACATGATGGTGGCTGCAAGCCAAACCAAATTGCACTTTTACTTGCTCACTGCGCCTTGATTCTAGACCGCGCTGGTGTTCATGTGGGCGTGGAAAATTCAGACCGAGTCTCATGGCAACCGTAAGTTTTTTTTTGACTCCCTGCCTCAAACTGGTCACATGGGTTTCCCCGTTTGAGACGGGAGGAAGACTTGGAAGAAATCGCGGAAATAAGACCGAATTCAATGTACGCTGAACCACCCGATGACAGGCAACCCGGAATCCCCTACCTACGAGTGAACATACACCCAGGACACCAATAAGTAGACAGCTTGTTTTTCACACCAGCACATTAACACAAACTTCAGGATCAACAACACCAGCATACACCAGCGTACCTTGACGGTGTCGGAGCCTTGCTGTGGCGTTCCGGGCTGCAGGTACTGCGGATAGTTCACGCCCGGGTTGGGTGGCACACCACCTGCGGGCTGTTTGCCGGGCTGCTGCTGATCCGGTGTTGGAAAGACTGGCAGGGCAGCACCAGGGTATGCCGGGTACGGTGCCGGGAATCCCGGGTACTTCGGCGTCACCGGGGGCAGCATGTTAGTGTGATACCCGGGTGTCGGGTGAGTGCTGTCGGCTGTCGGATGATCGGGTACCGGGTACTTCGTGGTGCCACCAGGGTTTGGGGCAATGTGGTCGCCAGGCTGGACCGGTGGCCAGGGCTGTTGTTGGTCGCCAGGCAGCTGCGGATAGCCTGGCAGCATTGGCTGCCCGGGATAGAGGGTAGGTTGTCCTGGCATTGGCTGTCCGGGGTAGAGGGTAGGCTGTCCGGGCACTGGTTGTCCGGGGTAGAGGGTAGGTTGTCCTGGCATTGGCTGTCCGGGGTAGAGGGTAGGCTGTTCTGGCATTGGCTGTCCTGGCTGTGGCTGTCCTGGGTAGAGGGTCGGCTGTCCTGGCATTGGCTGTCCTGGGTAGAGGGTCGGCTGTCCAGGCATTGGCTGGCCTGGCATTGGCTGGCCTGGCATTGGCTGTCCGGGGTAGAGGGTCGGCTGTCCAGGCATTGGCTGTCCGGGATAGAGGGTAGGCTGTCCTGGCAGTGGCTGTCCTGGGTAGAGGGTCGGCTGTCCTGGCATTGGCTGGCCTGGCATTGGCTGTCCTGGGTACAAAGTTGGCTGGGGAAGGACCTGACCAGGGTATTGGGTAGGCATGGGCTGTCCAGGAGAGGTTGGGGTGACCGGTGTCTCTTGGGTTCCATCCCCAGTGGCAGTGCCATGGGCTGGCGGCGCAGTCTGTCCGGGGTAGGCGGTTGCTTGCTGTTCACCCGGGAAGCCGTGCCCAGGTCCCGGAGCAGTGGGATAGGCACCAGCAAAGGGTGGTTGGTAAGTCGGTCCGGACACTGGCCGTTGCTGTGGGCTATACGTGGGCATTGGGTAGGGGCCGGGGAACGGTAGGTGAGCTGGTTGTGCTGGCGCGGAGGGATCACCCGCTGCGGGACCGTCTGAGCTAGGTGTTTGAGTACTTGCACCATGTGGTCCCGGGTACACACCTTGTCCCGGTCCGGGCAGGGCAGCTCCAACGTCAGCAGTGACCGGTGTTGGTGACTGTGTTGGCGGTGCTGAGCAGAACCAGGAAGGAACAATGCCGAGGTCATGTGAATATACACACATATGTTCGCATACATGTACATGCACACACACACACATGCACGCGCGTGTGCGCACACACACACACACACACATGATACATGAAACATGTATTTGCCTGATACAGCATGACAGCGCACACAGGCAGGTTCCATACAGGCGAAAATTTAACGCGACCGAAAAGGATTTTGGTCCGAATACGAAATGCTAAATGTTCGTTTCAGGGACAACAAAAAACTTTCGCAACGACACCCAAGGTTGGAGGACATACAGTAGAAGACACACATACATGCACACACACACACACACACACACACACACACACACACACACACACACACACACACACACACACACACACACACACACACACACACACACACACACACACACACACACACACACACACACACACACACACACACTCACGCTGATACAATCTATATTCTCACCCTTACGGTCTGTGCAGACGACTGTGGTAGTGCATGCCCGCGGTATGGGCAGGGGTATGCCATGGAACTCGCACACGGAGTCACTGATCGGCACGCCAAACTCCATGCAGCGATGTGGCCTCGCCAAGAGGAACTCATTGCAGCAGTCTGCCTGGCCGGGAACCCACATGGCACGGCATCGGCGTCGTGCGCAGAAGCGCTGCTCCAGGCTGCCGTTGCGTCCGCAGTGCTCCATGCCCAGCGTGCGCGTGTGTCCCTCGATGTCTGTCTGACGGCACTCCATGTAGCGCGTGTGCACGCACCGTCGGCACGGCGACCAGTCCGTCAGGTTCACCATGAATGGCATGCAAGAAGCCTGGCCATGCCGGACAGAACACACAGAAATGATTCCGGAGTCAGACACAAAACACTCTAATTTCAGAAATCCTAGGTGCTCAATATCTTCGGTATGAGGGCAATTGGCCAGGTTAGGTGAACAGAAATGTTAGGTATGGAGAAACAGTTCCCTATTGGATTATGTGTGTTAGTGTTTGTTCGGTGTATTGAAATTTTAGGTATGAAACAGATGCACGGAAAGTACCGACAATATAAGTACACCGAAAATTTGTGAAATTACTGTACTCAACGTGCAGGTCCACCGGAACCGGTCTTGTTGGTTAGGTCATCACCGGAGCAAAGTTTTGGCCAACACATGTTTACCGTAGTGTCATGTATTACAGCCTGTCTTGTATAGAAGCCTGTTTTGAATAGAATCCTGTTTTTCAAGATACACCGTCAGCACATACGCCTGGTCTTAGTGTTGACACACATAGAAAGTTAGAAATACCTGGTTTGAATAGAAGCCTGATGTGAATAGAAGCCTAGCCCTGACATCGGCTTCTACAGAAATAAGCCCGGCTTTATTACGCGACATTACGGTATGCAAAGTGTGCATGACACATACCTCAGCACATGGCTCTAGATAGACCGGCTTCTCGGTGCCGGCACAGAATGAGTCGTCGATGGTCTCGCCCAGTCTGTCTGCGCATCGCACTGCCCGTGTGCGATTGCCTCCGCCGCAGGTCACCGAGCATGGCGAGTACGTGTTGCTTAGTCTCCACTGGGAGCCGATTGGTGGCTCGGTGGTCGATGGCGCTGCCGGGAAAGCAGAAACAACAAAGACAGTAGCAGAGGTCTGTGAACATGGTCACTAGAACCCCGATCATAATACACAGTAAACTTTGTGTTTGCCAGACCCTGTACCCAGCGACACACGGGACCCTGTACCCAGCGACACACGGGACCCTGTACCCAGCGACACACGGGACCCTGTACCCAGCGACACACGGGACCCTGTACCCAGCGACACACGGGACCCTGTACCCAGCGACACACGGGACCCTGTACCCAGCGACACACGGGACCCTGTACCCAGCGACACACGGGACCCTGTACCCAGCGACACATGGGACCCTGAACCCAGCGACACACGGGACCCTGTACCCAGCGACACACAGGACCCTGTACCCAGCGACACACAGGACCCTGTAAAAAAAAGAAAAGTCGGTGTCGCCTGTACTACGATGGTCAGATCAGTGGCGGATCTAGGGGAGGGCGCGGTGGGCGCGCGCCCTCCCCTCAAACAGTTCGATGTTTTTAGTGCATGCACATGGGCAGTTGCGCAAGTGTTTGCACATGCTGTGACAAGTAGTTTCTAGTGTCAGATATGAAAGTTCTTCTGAACACGGAATAGTTGTTCTCTTAGACTTTGGTTGACTTTTAGTTTTGAAATTAGTATTCAGTTGACCAACTTGTATAGCTAAGTCGGTGAAGGGGAAGGGGATGGCGCACCGCCCGCCCAAGCGGCTAGGGAGCCAACAAACTCTCCATGGATTTTTCGCGAGGCGAACTTGCTCTTCGTCAGCTGCTCAGTCCAGCGATCCGTCTTTGGAGGAGAATTCGGACCACCGCGAAGATCCTGAGATCGAGGTCTGCTCAGACTCTGATCTTCCCCAGATGGAATCCGAAGTAGATTCTGACGACGATGGTGGGACTGTCAGTAGTAGTGATGCGAGTCAGGAGCGTTTACCTGTTGAAACTATCGCAGATGACGACGTTGTGACTGTCACGAATGTGGCTGGTGGCACTGCTACGCAGCGAAGTTACTCGGATGCTGTTGATGCAGCTATTGGCGGTGCAACTCTCAGCGATGCAGAAAAGCGCAACAAATTTGGGAACCGGGAAGCCTGGTAAGCAGACGGTGTTGCCATCTAGGGATTATCCCGACAACCGCCGAAAGACCGGTACTTCCACTCACTCGCTGCTACTGAAGTGGTTTGAGTGGCTTGCCTATTCCGGAAAGGCTGGCGAGGAAGGCGTTTTTTGTGCGCCGTGCGTCCCGTTTCCTACATTGCATCGACAAGGATCAACCCGAGGTGAATACCTCATCTTCCATTCTTACTGCTGGACATGGCCATCCAAGTAATCGTATATTTTATCATTTTGCCATTGTTCTCGATCTCAGCATGTCTGGAGCTTTGAAGCACTATCTTTACACAATTCAACGTAGTACGGCTATGTTCTACTACAGCCAGAGTCCTCAATGAAGTGGTTGAAAAAGTGGGAGTGAGTGCATGTGCTAAAATAGTAATTCTACATAACCGCTAAGCCTATGACTTAAAATAGCCGCTATGTCGTAATGTGTACAAAATACAAGTACCGCATGGGTTCCCTGTCATGAATATTACCCGCGCCCTCCCCTCAGCTGAACTCTGGATCCGCCACTGCAGATGAACCGTGAAGTACAGGGTGGATGTCTGTATTTTATGACAAACATCTGGGTGTGGCTTATACTCCAGTGTGGCTTATACTCCAGTGTGGCTTATACTCCAGTGTGGCTTATACTCCAGTGTGGCTTATACTCCAGTGCGGCTTATACTCCAGTGCGGCTTATACTCCAGAAAATATGGCACTTGTATACACAGTCGACTTCACTTATAATGAACTCGCATATAGCGAATTTCGTGATGTAGCGAACTCCTGTCCATGTCCCTGTTTGAACCCGTACAAAATTGACCCTTCATCGCGAACAGTTTTCGTTAAAAACGAATCAAATATGGTAGGGTCGCATGTAAACCAAGTGCATTCATACTGTCATGAACCACTTGCCAGTCACGACTTGCTGCTTGTATGGTGTGAGTGCACGTCTGTTATAACAACCTTTGGCTATAAAGAACTAATTCACAATGGTGTTTGTTATATCAGGAGACGACTGTAGACATGTGCATCTATATGGTCGGTACCTGTGGTGCAGGATCCAGTGCACGGGATTGGCGCAGGAGTAGTCTGTCCAAGTTCAGACCCGCATGGCACCTGCACAATACACATGTACACGGAACATCCACAGAGAACGGTTGAAATTGGAAACAGGGAAACAGTTCTGTATTAACTACCATGGATACAACATATTACATGCAGGGTGTCGCACACGGTACGGTCACTACGGTATATTGACCGTACCACTATTTGCCCCAAGTGCCCCGTGAATCAAAAAAACGCACTGATTTGGGCTCTAAATTTCCAAAATTTTCAGCTCAGCCACCCCTCCTCATGAGTAAATTGCACTTCACATGGCTGACCGTAGCACACTAAATTACCTTCCGACATTGCCCCTGCTTGTAAGGCACATAATGAAAACCGTGGGCAAATTCCGTTGTGGCTCAGAGTTTCATTGCTGAACCAATCATCAGACTACAAACACTGTCGTTGTCTGATGATTGGTTCAGCAATGAAACTCTGAGTCACAACGGAATTTGCCCAAGGTTGTTCATTGTGTGCCTTTGTGTACGCCGCTCTGCCCGGATCAGCTATTGAGCACTTTCGCAGAACCTAGGCCTATTGCCTCTGTACTATATGTATGGATAGTATACAACTGCATATACAACTGCAGGGGCGTCGGAAGGTATTTTAGTGTGCTACGGTCAGCGATCTGAAGTACAGTTTACTTGTGGGGGAGGGGTTGCTGAGCCGAATATTTTGGAATTTTAGATCCCAGATCAGTGTATTTTATTGATTCATGGGGTACCTGGGGCAAAAAGGGGTACGGTCAATACCGTAGTGACCGTACCGTGTCAAACGCCCTTGACAAAGTACAGTTAAACCTGTGTTTCCTGGACCCGGAATGAAGCGGGATCCTGTATTAACTGGAACAATTGTCATGCACCAAAGTGCAATGGATCGAACGGGCATCCCTGGATCAAGTGGGATCCTGCCATATCAGGACAGTTTCCGCTGCAGCAACGGCGTCCGGTTAGGGCAGGTTTAATTAACTAAACTTACTGAAACATACTCTGGATATAACAAACTATGGATATAATTATCATATTCTGGATATAACAAACAATGGATACAACAAACTATGGATATATCATTTTCTGGATACAACGTACTATGGGTAATAAAGTACTGTTTTTGCTGACCCAGAATCATGTTATATCAGTCTTGGATATACAATGTAGTAGCAATGTACAGTACATCGGCTAGAAACTGTACAGACCAGCAGACGGCTCTTGAAGGCGTATACCCCAGGGAAATACGGTACACACGCAGCACATCCGCTTACCCGTCCACACGGCGCTGTCTGGCTGGGCTTGTCAGGGCTACTGCACTGGGCGTCGGGTATAGTACGTCCCGTGGAGTCGGCACACCGTACGGTGCGTGTGTAAACACCGTTGTCTCCGCACGTAGCCGAGCATTCCTGATTGAACTGTCCTGCTCTCCAGTGACTGTGTTGTACACAGACAGGGGAACGTGAACAGTAAAGACACAATCAAAATTGAAACAAGGAAAACGATGGGGCACAAGTTATGCATTAGAGTCCACCAACTAAACCAGGTTTTGAACAGTCAGACGTGCACAAGGTAGCACCAGACTGACAAGGAGTACTGCGACATTCCATGGCAAGGAAGCGAGCTTGTGCAGCACGGTTTTCCTTGTTTCAATTTTAATAATATTTCCTTGGCTCACCATCCGAGTACTTAAAAAACACAGTTTCAGTTTCAAGTGCAGAACTGCTCTGCTGGAAGCTTGATTTTGTTGGTTAGTGGTAATCATGTTATAAGAGTGTTGCGAGCCTGCAGCAACACAATCCACTAACCGCCCATAGAATGTCATGCGAACATTGCATTTGCTGGAATGTGTGCATGTATGGCAAAGCCTATGACATTGTGTACCTGTATACGCTTGAAGTTCATACTCAGGCATGCATGGCAAAACCTACCACGTTGTTTGTTGTTGCTACTGAAGAACTACATGACCCCAGTATGCCCTCTGGTCATCGACAACAACCCACAGAGGTGACGTTCAGAATGTGGCATTGTGTGCCCTTGAACGCAGGTGTTCCGAGGGACCGTGAGCGGTGCTTGGGGTTTACTCGTGGTGGAACGAATCCTCCCCGCATGCACTTGGCTAGAACCTCCCCCATACGGCCGCTGGCTCGAGAGCACTTCCCACCGGACCTCCGTCGAGACCGAGCTTATTCGCGGCGCACACACGCCCTCCCTGAATTGAAACACTCTCGCGCTGTGAGGGACTGCCATTATGTTCAGGAAGTCCAGCGAATCAAGTTGGTACAGGTGAGGACAATTAGAACAATTAGCTTACCTGACCGAGTGCGCGCTACTTGCGAGCGCCGCCACGAGAACAAGCACGGGTAATGTACCAACTGCCATGTTCTCCTTTGTTCCGTGTACGTTACTGGTCCGCTCCGGAACCTACTTCACACAGGGGTCGAACAGGGTCAAAGTTCTCACTCGCTACAACGAGAGAGCATGGGCTTCTTCTTCTTCAATTTCTGCTTCTTCTCTTTTGTTCTCCGCTCTGCTGTGTGGAAGGAGAGAGCTGCGCATAACGGTAGGAACGACAAGGTTCCTTCCACTCCAGTGCGCCAGTACATGTAGTGACCGCCGCATGCTGCGTCTCTCTGCCAGGGCCCCTGCTTGCTGCCATTGCGTAGATATCACCCACTGATTAGGTGCGAGCTTGCAGCTTGTAGCTGCTGGGGTTCGGCTGCTAATGATGGTGTCGCTGGCTGCCGTTGCAGCATGATGTCGGCGCGATCTGCGCTGCCGTTGCCTGCCGGAACAGCTCGCTCATGGACGGGTGGCGATAAGACCTGGCTGATATAGATAGTAAGCTGGGCGGGCAGGTGCCTTCTGTTCTGCCCAGCGAGAAACTTTTGGACCGTCGCTCCCGTCGCTCCCGTCCTATCGCTATTATAATATGCACACTATTTTAGTATCCTCTGCATGCCATGCATGTGTGTATGTATGTCAACAGTTAGACATCAGCTAGCCAGCCGAACATCACCATGATCACTGCCCATCAGCGACCAACCCGGGGGGGGGGGGTCTTGGGCTGAACCCGACAGCCATCATTCCGTACACTGACACAGGTGCTACTTATCAAGAGTGCAATGCTAGGCGCTGCAGCGATGGTGCAGTGCCAGTGCAACTAGTGGTACTGGTGGTTTCACTTTTGGCGCGCAAGGTGATAAAAAAACCGGGAGTAGAGGTTAGCAGTTGGAAGCTTGGCTTGATGGAGTCCTACTCCTAGCGAGGGTACCGGTGGGCTAGACTTGGTACGGAAAGGTTTAGCCTGTAAAGTGTAAGTCAACCTGCTCTGGATTCTGGTGCTGAAATCGTCGCTCTCGGTTTCGTGTATTTTGTTTGGCACATGTAGACCTACTACTGTAGATCTACACGAACACGTACCTGTACTGAGCTGTAGATCTACATGGCATGATTGTCTGACACAATATCAACATGCTCTGAGGGCAGCTCGACGTTGCTGATTTACGTTCGAAGCTGCCATCGCACATCACTTTCTTTCTCCCTATCGCACAGAGAGCTTGTAGTTGCTGACTACATCAGTGTAGTCTCTGGCTGGTGATGTGGGATATCCTAGGGGATAAGTCACCGGCAACGTAACCAGCACTAGACCTTCAGAGATGACATGGACATGACGTGTTAGGGTGGCCCTTGACGGATAACTGCGGTAGACATATTTGGCGGACAGAAAAGTACCAAAATGATCTTGGTACTTGTTTCTGGTACGTTTCATGCACGGTACGCGGTTTGGATATGTGGATAAAGAAATGGAGTAGAATTCAAGGAAGTGCCTGCCGTTAAGTTTTTATGGTTCTGCCAATTTCCCTGCTTTTCGAGCAGAATCTGCCATTTTCGAGCATTATCCACCCACGGTTATGCTAGAGTGTTCGAGCAAAGAATCCCAGCCATCACGCGGTGGTTGGGCAGGAGAGATGGCGGTGATATTCTGCACTGTGAATATGAATTGCATGTCTGTAGTCTGTGTGGTGCAGACTGCATGAAGCTAGTGGGAAGTTCACACGTCGATGATCGCTTGCAGACAGAGCCAATGCTGTTAGATATACGCGGTGTGACGATACGGACGATGTGTAAGGCGGAGGGAATAACTAATGCTTTGATTGAAAATTCCATAATCAACAGATATCTACAATCTTGCACATTACAGGGCTGCGCAATGGAATTTAGGGAGTGAGTCAAATAATTTGTGCCATGCTCCCAGTGAACATTCTAGTGCTCGTAGGCGCACAAGTTCGCAGGTGTACTAAACGTGCGTGCAGCGATAAGTGTAGTGCACACATACCCTCTAGTATAATGTACTAATGGCATTACCGCATGTAAATGATTATGTACATGTGTGCATGCGGTCACCTCTCAGTCCCTCACACGTGCCCCGATATGCGTACACGTGCGCGACCGGCATCACATAATTTTATAGGAGCTTCCTTCCAAATGTGCAGTCATGCACCAGCAAGCACACACACACACGTGTACGCGCATGCACGCGCACACACACACCACCACCACCACCACGGGAGGCAGAATTGTGAGCGGTATGTTATACAGTCCTGCGACTGGGGAGTAAGTACCCAGGTGTGTCTCCCGCTCGGTCTACGTCGGGACGGTCGACCACTTACAGCCTAGCCTTCCTAAACAAGAGCAACAATAACTGGGCTGCAATAGGCAGCTACCACGCCAGTCGATCACAAACTGCTATCTCCGTTCTTTGGCAGCTTCGAACGTCGAAACCAGGCGTGTGATATTGAATTTCTAATGCCGCAGCCTCGAGCTCGAGGCAAACACCCGCCTTAGCCCACCACATTAGGTGTACCCCCATACTGCCACGACGACTCTCATTGCCCAACAGCCGAATATGGAGATAGAAAATCAACACAACGACGCGGCCGAACCAAGCACGAACATGTCCGCCAGTTCATGTGGAAGGCGGATCACGTGCAAGGGTAGGCTTACAGGATATGGTCTCCAAGTTGTGTGCCCTGGCTGCCATTGAGAAGACAAAAGAGTTCGACAAATGCATCAGAGTTAACCCACTTGGGTTCCTCATCCACCGTCTCCTCCTCCACTACCTTCACACCATTCCCCCACCGGCCAGACTATAAGGGCAAGCCCTAGCTCGAATATGTACGTGTCGGTCTCACCAGCACTATTTTGCACATCAGTCAGAGTGGGCTGGGTAATCTGCCATGATGAGAGTGCGGTGGACATCAGAGATTGTTTGTGTGTTTGTGCACGCAATATAGTCATGTGATCTACCACTACTTCGAAGAACAACCACCCATTAGGTCGGTACCATTTCAGAGCTTCTATTGCACTCATAATGAGACCATTTCAAACTGCTCAAAGCCCCAACCAAAGCGCCCTGTAGAGCAAATCAGATGAGCATTTCCTCACGGCGTGTTACATGTGTTGCGCGTCTAATTAGAGATCCGCGGCTCTTGTCCCAGGCTGCCCCCCCCCTCACACACACACACACACACAACAACGACACAACACACACACACACACACACACACACACACACACACACACACACACACACACACACACACACACACACACACACACACACACACTCTCTCTCTCTCTCTCTCTCTCTCTCTCTCTCTCTCTCTCTCTCTCTCTCTCTCTTCTCTCCTCTATCTGCATGGTATCCCTGTTAGCCCTCCGCCGGTGATCTATACCTTATGGCCATGATGCCCACGCTAGAGCTAACGCTGAAACAAGAGGCAGAGGTCGTCGTTGTTGGCGTGCCTGACCAGCACAGGCTCCAACCTGGAGTCCCTACTCTCCCGTCCTGCTGGAGTGCTGCTAAGCAGCTTTGTGTTTCTCCACGGTAGGGGTGTGCGGAGAATGCTCGAAAAGGTGGCAGATTTGCTCGAAAAGCAGTGAAATTGGCAGAACCATACAAACCTTATGGCGGGCAATTCCTCGAATTCTGCTCCATTTCTTTATCCACATACCAAACATGCATGAAACTTACCAGAAAAAGTACCGAATTCTGCCAATTTTTCTGCCGGCATTATCCGCATATGCCTACTCCACAGTGAGAATACTCCACAGACTAACAGTACAGTCATGTACATAGACAGTTGGTCAAGCGATTGAGTCATCATGTTTAATAATCTTTATTTCAGGAAGTTGGTTTATTTCAGGATTACCCAAAGGCTAACGCCTATCTGGGGAAACTCCTATTTGTGTATGATTATTGTACTAGAAACATTTTTTGACATGCCTGGTTACGTAGTGGTACATGTACTTCTAAGTACATGTATGCCATTAGTCATTACCTCATCAGTGGAGATGCGTTCGAAACGTGGCGGCACACTGCACTGGGCACAGCGGTCATGAGCGGTGCCCTAGCGATTAGCGACTCACTTTGCATCATGTAAATGTACATAGCGTCTATAAGCTGTTCCGCTGTATACGTTAAAACACCCATAAGCGGTTCCGGAAATCTACTGACACATCTTTATGACTTCTTTCGCATAACCTCTATTATCTATCGCCACTGGCACTGCTTTGCCGTGCACTCAATGGTGGTTAGCACTTGGTCGCTACTCCAATTATGTACATCGTATCATGTGTACATGACCCTCGCATTCTCTCTTCCCTGTACAGGCTGCAGGAGGAGGTAGTGGAACCCATGTCTCACGCAGACAGCTGGTCTGTGGATGTTGGGCCATGTCTTGTCCCACACCTCCAAGAGTGGCTCGTCTGTGAATGTTGGACCATGTCTTGTCCCACACCTCCAAGAGTGGCGGCGGAGAGGTATTTCCCCAAAGGACAGTGTAACGCGGCGGATACAAGTAAAGTGAAAGATCCCACGTTCTCTTGACCGCCTGCCACATGTACACACGTATACACTTGGTATTAGATAACCATTGTTTTGATATAGAAAGGTCACTGTTTCCGAACACGGTGTCCTCCACCTAAGTCCTTGTCACATGCTGTCAACTAACAACCAACTACTTGTGCGGAGAAAGACAATGGTGGAACGATTGGCAGGTTCTGCTGGAAAAGCGGCGAAATTGGCAGATCCATACAAAGCCTATGGCGGGCAATTACTCGAATTCTACACCTCTTCTGTATCAATACACTACACTACAGTGCTAAACATGCATGAAACATTACCAAATGCTGCCGGCTTTCTGCCGGCGTCATCCGCTTGCTGGGGCTAGTGAGGGGCTGAGCGTCCGCGAGCCTGGTCGTGTGCGTGCTCATGGTGTGAGAAGTGTGCGGTGCGTCAACTTGAACCCTAGATCTACCATGTTTCTTTCAGTATACCCAAGCCTCTCTCTTGTAGACGGGCAAAATAAACACAAGCTCAACATGCAACAGGAAGAAAATGTACCAGGGAACCCTACACCTACAGCATGCAGCACGTAGACGTGTAGATAAGTAAGTTAGATCTAGATCTACCATAGAACCAAGACGGCAAGAGTACATAAACCCGGTCAAGTTTTATGTACAGTGCTGGCAACTGAATTCCGACCCCACTAGCGGTGCGCTAGCCGCGTTAGCGATTCGTACGAAACGCAAGGGGGGGGGTCGGATTTCAGTTGCCAGCAATGTACAATGTACATGATTGTACTCTTGATACTGATAGAATTAGAACTGATAATGGCATGTCATGTCCAGCGGCTCCATGGTGCTCTGCACGCCACTTGCCAGCCACAGTCGGTGTGCATACATGTACAATCATGTATCGCGGTTCGGGTGACCTTCCCGCGGTGTTCATGCGCGATTCTGTATGCAATCACGTAAATCTACAATGATTATGTAGGAGATAACTAACGCAATGTCACAGTGTGATGTAGCCATGCATTGGCGCATTTGGCGGACGATTATTATTAAATATTAAATTCTGCTCGAAAAGCTGACAAATTCTGCTCGAAAAGCAGAGACAGAACCGTGCAAACCTTATCGGGCAGGCACTTCCTTGAGTTCTGCTCCATTTAATTATCCACATACCAAACATCAGGAGTACATACTAGTAACCAGTACCAGTCCCAGTGGTTATGTACTCTTGCAAACATGCTGCACGAAACTTACCAGAGAGAGTACCAAATTCTGCCAATTTTGCTGCGGGTATTACCTGGTATTTTACAGTATTGCCGGGTGCATAATACGTTTCCAGAGAGAGAGAGAGAGAGAGAGAGAGAGAGAGAGAGAGAGGGGGGGGGGGCAAGATGTGACAGGAGCTGGAGCTGCACAACGTCCGGTAGTATTGACCGGGGAGTAATAAAATACCGGTATTTCATGACTCTCTGTCATTGACTGACGCGATCAGACTTTATCGACCAGCGTTGTCAGACACACACACACCCGCGCACACACACACACATGCACGCGCCAATCATTGGCCAAGTTGTGCTAAGGAACAACACACACGATGGACCTGCATCCTCCCACCAGCCCGTGTAGCGTCGCAGGAAGCGTGAGTTTCGATGTCTGAAAGAAAAAAAAGGTTGATTGGTCTCTGCTGGGATGACAGCTGCTACACTGTACATGCAGTAGAGCATAGCTCAGTGGGTAGAGCATTGCTGGCCTCAAGCCAAGGTCCCTTGGTGGTGACATTCAAAATCAATTCTTCTTCAGACTTGTCTCATGTCCTCAACAAACTCAACAAACTAACGAATAGGTACACAATGGACCTTAGAATTTTATTTTCAAATTAAAAATGCGAAAAATCATGCAGGAACCTAGAAATACAGCAGTTGGAAAAGATGCGAAATCAGCAAAGACTGCTGGTGACTAATGGAGCGAGCACTTGTGTCAAACGTGTGCTGGCCTGGGTACTAGAACTCTTAAACATCGGCACTGGGTAAGCTATACGAGTAGAGCTGGACGGGAGCTGATTGTCATAACAAACTTCAAAGTAATGGTGTAAATGATGGAGCAGCAGTCTGTCAGATAAACGTAGGAATAGTGGAGAAGATGATTCGCGGGAACGGACTATGACAAACAGTAGCCGCAGACAACATGACCGTCGCTCGAGTGCTGCTATCGCGAGGGGTGCAAGCACGCGTGCTCGCGCGAGGACGCTTGTACTCGTGCGCACAGGCCGGTGCAAGCGCAGCGCTTCTCGCGTGCGCGTCAGAGTACGTGAAGTGAGCATGTGCTCGTGCACGTGTTTGGGATCTAGTGAGGTTAGAGTGGGAGCGTAGCGCAACCGTGCATCTCAGACTCGAGACATCAACGTACTCCTCCTTCTTGATGGCTGAACTCTGCTGATCCCATCTACCTAATGGGGTGCGCTCCGGCGAAGGAAAGTCGGGCGGTGGCTGAGAAATCTGCGTGCTAGAGGGCGCGTCAGCAGAAAGAGAGAAAGAGAGAGAGAGAGAGAGAGAGAGAGAGAGAAAATGCCCGGCAAAGATAGGAACAGGCATGCCGACGATGACGCCCCGAAGACCATGCATCCACGCGGCACACACGGACACATAGCGAAAGGACTACTAGTAAGCTGAGAATGGCTAGCGTAGCAGAGCGAGAGCAGAAGAAGACCCGCACTGTGCCTGGTGCTATTTCGGTGTACACTGTCAGTTGATAAACGGTGTTGATTGGTTTGGCTGTGGAGACAGTCGAGTAGTTGCCTCACCCAACACAGCCAGCTCAGAATGGTTGTAGTCATGTTGCGGGAAGCTGATACCGGAGGCAAACATAGCCGACTGGCGCATGTGATGATGCATGGAGACGGCGAACTTGCACAGCTGTGACTGCAGGTCTTGTACTGTGTGTACATGTGCGTGTGCGTGTGTTTAGGGGATAAACACACAAACATAATCCACACGGACATGCACAGATACACGCATGGGCGCATGTACAGACACACGCACACATACGACAGAGACGAAGGTGTGATTTCTAAGGACGTCTTGAGGCTTCTTGCAGCTTCATGTGTAAAGCAAGGAACCTAACAGGACACATCCATTCCCACAACACTAGAAATCTGCTGTGATTGCCATTCAGGACAATACAGTGACTCCCTTGAGTTAGCCAAAGGCCGGTGGAGAATGCAAGCCCCTTGGTTTAGGGCGCGTTTGGTTGGTCGGATCCGGAACAGGATCGTTTAGAACAGGGGTGTTTGATTGGCCTGCACTGGTTTCGGAGTGTTTAGAACATGTTTTGGCCACTCCGACACCCAAGGCTGGAGTAGTCAGAGCAAGTTGCAAAGCCCAATGAAACCAGACAGGGCTACGCAATGAGCTTAGTCTTTGTTTTGATTCGAAGCGATTCTGGCATGTTCAGGGATTACGTAATGGAAGTGGCGATGTACATCAAGGTCTACGTGGAGGTCTACGCGTGATTGGCACATTACTGGTAGTCTCCACTTTCATGATTGAATTTTTGTTTGTCTCCAAAGCTTCTTCTCCGGTTGTATTCACCTTCAAGTTGGTTTCGCCTTCGCATCTTGAGCAACGTAAACATCTTCGAACTCCGTGGAAATTTTGAAGTTCGCGGCACGATGATGAGCTATCATGAGTTCTAAAATATTTCTGGCAAAAATATTCGCTGTTCTGTTTGATTGGGAACTATTGTTGTGACTGCTCCAGTGAATCTGATCTGAATCCGGACTGACCAATCAAACATGCTCCCAGGCTAAGGCCTGTGGAGAATCCATAAACACAAAAATACAAATACAAACGCAGTAATCATTTCCGCAGCACTTACGCCTTTTGTTATCCAGTAGATACAACTTCTCCGTGACGTTCTGCCTCATGTTCAAGAAGCGCCGCTTCGCCATGTGTTGGCAGCGCAGAGCAATGCTACAGAGCAAAACAACAACAACAACACACACACACACACACACACACACACACACACGCGCACAACCCAAAGTGAAGAAGGCAACGTCACTATCACAACAGCTAGTGTCCAGTTGGGAAGCAACGACAGACAAGAGTACAGTAACCAGAGTGTGCAGCTCCGCATCTATGCTCCATAAAACAAATCGCACAACCCTGGTGATACGGTAGAATGACTATGTGAACCGTGCAAGATGCAGCTAAGGGCGCGTTCAGACTACCGTGAACCCCGTCAAACCGTGAATGCCGATAAACCGTGAAGGACATTCACACTACCGATAACAAACTAACGTTGCCGTGAAGTTTTCAGCTCTCACCGCGGCACTGACAAGGGATTTTCCCTTTTTTCCCAGCGCGCATGCAGCCTCAGCACTTTTTTTTTTACTGCCGGTAAAAGTTTACTGCCGCAGCAGCCGCGGCAGTAAAACTTTCCCACCGGTAACGTGCCAGTAACGTCACGTGATCAAATCACCTTGGCGACTTTCCCAATCGGTCACTTTTTATCGGTAGTCTGAACGCGCCCTAAGGTGAGCTACTATACTCTGGTACGTTATATTGAACTGTTAACCTGTACATACACAAAGACATGTTTGCCATGCTGGGTGTATGGATGCTGACACCGAGCATGGTGTGATTAAACTGAAACAAACGTGAATTTCTGTCGGGACAGCAGTGCATATCACTGATATCAGGCATAGTCCAACTTTGCTAGTAAAGCAGTTCTGCTTGCGAAATATCGAAGGGTTTCGAAGAAGAATTTGCCGGCAAAAATGGAGCAAAATATCGGCATGTTAACCGAAAATTGGGAGAGTTTACACTTATACCAGCTCAGTTGACTCATTTTCGCACATTTTGCCAACGCGTTACTCAATTTTGCTCGTTTTTGCCAACACGTGACCCACTTTCTGTTGCCACATGTGCACGTGACAACAAATTTGGCCTAACATTGCAGCAAAAGGTGGAAAAAATATCGAGTGGCTGGCCAACTGAAAGCAAAATATTGACAATGAGCGAGTACAATTTTGCTGCAAAATATCGAAGCTTCACTGGCAAGACCGGGCTTTGCCTATATAAGTGCACATGGGGACTTGTACGCTCTGCATGCTGAAATGGCTTGGATAAATGACCGCTGGGAGTCCCTTCAGCCGGTTTAAGTGCAGGAGTTGGAAGTGAACTACTCACCGATACTCTGCATTGCCGGTGCTTAGTCTGCCTAGATAGGCATGTGAACGCTGCACATGAACACACACACAGACAGACAGACAGACACACACACACACGCACACACACACACACACACACACACACACACACACACAGACGTGTATGCAAACACAAATGCACACACACACACACACACACACACACACACACACACACACACACACACACACACACACACACACACACACAGTGAGGACAGCAGGTGGCTATTCGTGGATAAAACGCATCAGTACTGATACTTGCGCACACACATTTCCTTTGCCAACCACACACACTGGCACCCTAACATCGAAAACGCACATCATCACCGACGAAATAATTGCACTAAGTGAGACGCATGTCAGCCTGCATAAGCTGAAGACTCCATTAACCCTTTAAGACGGTACCGGTATGACGGGTACATGTACATGCGTTATTGGGATAGCACTACACACAAGTCCACATATTTCGACTCCTGATGCACCTAGATGTATTCTACGCATGCGTAGAGATAGCTGATGCGCGTAGCTTTCCGGAGCTGCCGTCAAAAGCCAGTGTCCACATACAAAATGAAGTTTTCCGCCATAGATGTGGCGTCCTCTTCCGCTGAGGAAGCTCACGCTCACATAGATTGAGTTAGTGATTTTTTCGATGTTCAAGCGCTGGGAAATGCCGCTCTTGCAGATTTAGTCACCCGGACGTTGTTTGGAGGTGACAGCAGTGAGGGCGAAGCGTTTGACAGCGATACTGATGACGATATAGCCACTGACAACTCAGTAGACACAGAACCTGAGGTCGAATCCGCCATCACTGATGCCTTTCTTGCCACAGCGCTGAAAACAACAGCACAGAAGAGGAAGCACTTGAGGAATCCTCGTCACCATCAGCTGACGGCAGTGAGCATGTTGACTCAGAGCGCGAACGTTCTCCGCTCGGCGCAAGCTCCGACTTGAGCGACGACAGGAATGTCGGAGCAGATCGCGGAGTTCGCCGAGGCTTGCAACGCGGAGCACCTCGCAGGCGTGAAAGCAGCGGTGGACGAGGCACTGCTTTAAGTAGACCTGGGCCTGCTGGAACTGCTGATTTCCGTACACTGAGCTCAGGTCCTGAGTGGAAGACCAACAATCCCAGCACGCTGCCCCGGATAAAAGATTCTGTCGGAGTCCACGTGTTGGAACCGCTGCTGACATAATGACCACACTCCATTTCTTCAGCCTGCTCTTTGCGTCGAATCTTGCGCTGCTCGTCACGGAGACAGATCGTTATGCTGCTTTCAGGAATGCACCAAACTGGCAGCATGTTGTGCCAGAAGAAATGTCTTCACTTGTTGCCATCATCATTATCATGGGAATGTCACACCGCATAGATGAAACACTATTGGACTACAACTGTATCTTTCTTCAGGAATGATGCAATTGCAAATTGTATGGCTCGTGACCGGTTTCTCCAAATCCTCCCATACCTACATTTGGCAGACAGCAGTGCTGTTCCGCAAGGAGACCGGATTTTCAAAGTAAGCCAACTTGTCGATAACGCAAACGAACGGCCCGTCGTCCGTTGTTAGCAAACTGCCCAGTGGGAAGCTCACACGTCGGAGTGGTACCACGAACTTATTCAATCATTTGAAGACTCGCCATAAGCTCCAGTACCTTGAAGCTGTAGGTGGAAAGCAGGGTGAAGATGCGAGCAAACCGGCAGCAACGAAGTCAGTGTCGACATTCTTCAAAGGAAGCAAAGGGGGGGGGGGGGGGCAGTGGGAAGCTCACACGTCAGAGTGGTACCATGAACTTATTCAATCATTTGAAGACTCGCCATAAGCTCCAGTACCTTGAAGTTGTAGGTGGAAAGCAGGGTGAAGATGCGAGCAAACCGGCAGCAGGAACGAAGTCAGTGTCGACATTCTTCAAAGGAAGCAAAGGGGGGGGGGGGGATGTTATTGAGACTTTTGCTTGCAATGGTAACGTTCAGCAATGAGATGTAATACGGCTGGTGAATGTTGATGATACGCATATTGGAAGCAAAGCATCCAGCTTCTCTTTAGTAATTTTGAGCTGACAGCTTCTGGGTCTATTACTAGTGTACAAAAGCTGACGAGTGCCTGAGCTGTTCATGATTACCCCTCACAAATGACTTCACCGATCGTATCTACTCATGTGCAATGGTGGTTCACAGCATAGCACTTCTCGGCTCAGTTTGCTTCTCTACTCCCTTTGCTTAGTTTGTATAATATTGAAAATCTACCCGTATTACGTACATTTTGCCCGTAAAAGCGTCTGTCTTCAAAATTCTTCCAGGAGGAAATGCAGCATGATACAACACTTGAGATCTCGTGAAGCGGCCACGCGGCCCGTTCTTCAACGTGATAGGCTGATCTAGGGTAGAGCGACCTCAGACCAGCCAATCCAACTCATGCCCAATTTCCTTCCCCTGGGCTGGTGACAAACTGCTATGGCTGACAGTTTTTGACAATTCCATTTATTTCACCCAGTTTTATCAGTCCCTCTCTCTCTCTCTCACTCACACAAACACGCATGCACACACACACACACACACACACACACACACATACACATGCACTCACACATGCACATACGCATCCACCCCACACACACACGCGCACACACACACCCCCTCCCCCGTCTACATCTAACCCTGACCCTGACGACACGAGAGAGAAGCCAACTCACAGCATGTTCTGCTTCCTCTTCATCCATGAGCTGTACCTTCAGACAGAATGACTGCACATACATACACACACACAGGATATGGCAGATGACGTCACTATTTCCACGAAAAGTGACAAAAGAGTAGTAATATTTCCACTGCAACACGACCGAAGGGTGCCCGGTAGACCGAAGTGTCCATAGCCTCGTGGTCGGGATAACCAAGGTACGAGCGTACTACATGCCACAAAACAACAAAGGCACCAGGCCACTCCGCTGCAACTCTTGAGTTTCACGCTACGCAATCAGGCAAGAGGGGTACCATGTACTGCATGCCATATCAAGACTAACATACACACCATGTACTGACGTAGTGTCCTGGCCAAAGACTTACAACCCACGTGCCGAAAGCAGCGCCAAGACGCAGGCGGCCGTCGGATGGGTATTGTAGACCGTGCTTGCTGTACTGTAAGTCCACAAATATTCAGCGCATATTTATTTTCGGCTATTTTCGGCCTGGTCACGTTTGGCCTAAAATTTGTTGCGGCCGAAATTTTTGTTTTGCAAGGTTCAGTGTGACGATGTATCAGGCGGCAGCAGTACAGGCCGAAAACTTGATGCGGCCGAAATGGGTTTTAGCCCTGGGAGGCCGAAATTTGAACTTGCCGGAGATTTGTAGACTTACAGTAAGTGAAATGAAAGAGCTTTTGACCTGTGAGTCACTGAGTGGATTTCTTTGGCCATGACTGCACATTCCGTGTAGAGCTTGTGAATTATGACGTGTGAACACTCACCAGAAAGATGTACTTGAGATCGAGGTAGTGGCGAATTGTAGCACGCGAGTCGGGAATGGCCTGCAATCGGCAAACGACAACCAAGCGCAATTCATTTCAGTACACACACACACACACACACACGCACACACACACACGTACACACACGTATACACACACACACGTACACACGGCCGGGAACGGGTTCTGGAACGACAGCTTTGCACTTGGAGTTGGATTTCACCTAGCTCAACTGCATAACCCCAAAACATCAAATTTAATCCACACCAGGACTGCACACGAAACTTTACAGCGGACGAACTAGAGTTTGTTTCCAGTAGCCATCACCGCAGAAAGCAATCAAGAAGCTTACCTTGGAAAGAAATGTATTCATGTCTGCGATGATCTACACAGTCACACAGAGAGAAGAGTAAAATGAGATTACGGCAGGGCTGAAGAGTCACAATGGGCACAGCTGTGATCAGGGCTAAAGAAACCCGAGCCCGGGTAATGCATGGGGTTCGGACAACTGCTGTGGCTAGCACCCGTGATGTAGGCACGCATGCGGATTGATGGTGCACGGGGGAGACGATTTGTTCAGACAAATGCACAAGCGAGAAGAAGACCCAAAGTCTTGGCTGGATACTATGTTTGTGTTTGTCATGTAGTTTGTTTGTGTCACGCCTGGCGCTATCCCGTATCTGTCCCGTACCGTACCATCAAGAGAAGGAGTATGTATAGTAGCATTATGTATAGCCGTAAATCGGTCAAAAGCGGTCAGCACCAAGAAATGGGAGACTGTAGAGGCCTGGCATATATGTATGCGAAGTGTATCGGGGGAATGCATGCAGGGCGATAGTGCAGTAACGGCTGGCGCTAGCTAGCCAGGGTCCACAAAAGCTTCCTCCGTTAACAAAAACTTCGTGATGGATTTTTTGATGGATATGAAAACGCTTAGAACAGGTCAAGAACAGTTTGTATCGACTGCAAACGACTGGACGAAGGTAGTTGTTGTTGTTGTTGTTGTTGATTTTTATATTATTTCACAAGGCCAAACGGGCAATGGTGCCCAATTCCATGGAAGCGAATTTAGTTCAGCTCATGTACAGCGTCTTTACAAGAGAAACTATTGGCAGAATGAGCAGAGAGTTCAGTTTGCGTCGCTTTCGCTCGACTAAAAGCATAGCGTAGGGCCCTGAGCTTCCAAGCTCTCTCGTTTCATACAATTCAGAACAAAAACTAACAAATTTCCCCAGGCATTTACACAGGCCCTTACTGGACTGGATTCTTTGATGAACTTGAGGCCGCCTTTAGTGAACTGCCTGCAGGTGAGAAGAAAACGCCATAGACACATAACACAACCCAGTTGCACTTCAGTGTAAAGTACGTCGGACACAACATTTCAGTCACTAAATTTTATTCCCGTAGCTATGCAGAAGACGTTACTTCAGTAACGTCTGGCGCTAGCCAGGGTTCACACAGCTTTAATTTGGTGTTTGTTTGTTTGTTTGTGTCACGCCTGGAGCTATCCCGTATCTGTCCAGTACCGTACCGTGCCATCAAACGTACCCGGCCACAAACAGCTAAAAAAAACAAAAAAAACAAGCAGCCGGCCACAGTATTTGCTGGCTCCCGTATCTGTCCCGTACCATCAAACGTACCTGGCCACAAACAGCTGGCCACAGTATTTGCTGGCTCCCTTATCCGTATTTGAACTGCATTATAAAGTACTTTTTGCCGACTCTGCATATGGTGCAGTGCATGTGAAAAGGGTGCTTAGCTGCACTCGACTGAAATGTCCCCTGCTGGTATGTTACACTGATGTGCCACTGTAGATAACGTTTGATTTTTCATGAACGTTTTGAGCCCCAGCTTGCCAATACCATACCAGGATGTCTTGCCCTGCAGAAAGCCTTCCACGTACGGGCAGTGTTCAGCGAAAAATGAACCTTAGAGCTTTCATAATAAGTAAGGTTTGTTTTGGCTGAACGCTGTATGGCTTTATCCTAAGTCTTTCTGTCCCAAGTCTTTCTGTTCCAAGTCGTTCTGTCCTAAGGCTTTCTTCCACAATGGGAACTTGGCCTGAGTTGTTTAGTCACCTGTGCATTCAAGTGGGGGATTTGATTATCAGTATTGCTGCCAACAGCCAACTGTTTGCTTCGGTCACGTAGGCGTCTGCAGTGTAACAAGGAGCTATCATAGTACTGAACAAACAGTCGCGGTGGAAAGAGTAGGATTTTCAACATAAGGAGATCACCGGAGGATGTACCCAGTTGTGCTGACAGTGCTCAACACCGTGGAGGCAGAGCGTAATACAGTCAAGGCAGCAAAGCAGCAAACAAGCCTTGATTGTCCGTGTTGTTCTGTAACATAAGGGGATCCGTACTTGCATTTTGTCTTCCTACTGACAACTATCTAACGCCTCACGCCTCGCAGCTCCCATTCTTACAAGGGAGTCGTTTAGGGCAATGGTGCGGATAGACCAGACTTGCTGAGCATACATAGGCAATGAGTGCCCATCAGTAACCTGACTACTGCAATGATGATGATGATGATGATGAAACAGCGACAATCCTAAAGCAAAATACCACCTGAGGATCACCAGTCAAGGGAGCTCGAATCATTCGAGTTACGACTGGACAGTGTTCAATTTGACGTATGGCAGGTCACTTAAAAAAAAAAGAATTACAGGCACGGAGATCGGATAAAGAGAAATCAAAGTTTAGCTGCTTGCTGAAATAGTAGCGATGGTAATAAGGAGTTTATCACGTAGGCTAGCCACAATGGGGCTGTAGATGTGAGAGTAGATGTGTGTGTGTGTGTGTGTGTGTGTGTGTGTGTGTGTTTGTGTGAATGCACGCATGTGTGCGTGCGTGTACGCGCGCGCATGTGTGTGTGTGTGAGTCTGTATGTGTGTGTGTGTGTGTGTGTGTGTGTGTGTGTGTGTGTGTGTGTGTGTGTGTGTGTGTGCGTGTGTATGTATGTGTGCATGTGTGTCTGTGTGTGTGCATGTGTGCGGTGCACATGCATGCACAGAACACGTACCGGTGGGCCTCCCCGATGAGAGTGGATGTCTTTCGACGTGCCATGTCAGCATCAACCTGAGAAAGTTCGGAGAAAACCTCCGCCAGCTCTGAACATTCGTGAAAACGAAAGCACCAAACAAAGCAATATGTCATGGTAAACACAGTCCGGCACCAAATCCACGGTGAGCGAAGGCCATCGACAAGCGACAAACACTCTGGCATCTTCACTACAGAGGGCACATGATTGAGCTGATCATATTCAGCCGGGCACAGCGGGGATGTAAATACCCAGGCTTTTTTGCTGATGTGTTCATCGAGTTCAAAAGAAACAAAAAACGTGGTTTGTAATATTTGAGAATTATTTAACGCCAGCATGTTGTTTGCTGCGCCTATCACCATCCCGGCCAACCCTACACACACACACACACACACACACACACACACACACACACATGCGCGCGCACGCACACAAACACGCATAGCTCGGCTGGCATGCATGTGAAGATGGGCCGTGGAAATACTTACCGCGGTTTACGGAGCACTGGTCTTTAAATGCCTTGAGTAGACTGTGTATTCGAATGGACAGCTCTGGAAATGAAGAGAACAACACATAATAGGAGGTATGCATAGAAGATGGCCATCACCTTTTTGCGGAGAAAGCTGTCCCATACTTGGAAGGTACAACCAGCTCTAGTAGTACATTTGCGAGTATAACCACATGGAGTTCATGAACTTTTATGCAGAGCTGGTATGACAGTGTGTACAGGTACGCTTGCAGCGGAATGGCCCCACTAAACCTAATGGCAGGAAAATGATGAATTTATAGAAAAGAAAAAAAGACCAAGGAACTACAAGTTACTGTAGGACATGTTATTATAACGAGTCGCAAATTTAACGATTGTCCAAAATTCATAGGTTAACGAGAAGATATGTTAACGATCTTGCAGTATTCTGCCATATCCACACACAGCATACATGAAGCAGTACGGCTTTAACGGATCTTATTATAACGAAGAAATGTCATCCGTTAAAACGTTAGATTTGCTTCCTCGTTATATATACATGTCTTACAGTACGCTATAATAGTTCCTTGGTCCTTTTCTATAAATTTATCCTTGGCTCTCCATCCGAGTCCATTCTTGCAAAATGATGGATACGTCCCATTCACATCCTCAGTAACACATGCACATGGCAGCGATCAGATTAGAACATCTCATCGGCTGATGCCAGCCAAACAGCCCTCCAATCTGGCCATGTTCAACCACAGGTCAGGACCGCTGGAAGCTGTGTTTGATTGGTCCCGCCATACCAGAGTCCTTCACACTCCGTGCATAAAACAACGGCGGGTACACATGGCCTGCTCGGCAGTAAGCATGGGCGGGTGGCAAAGCAGTGTGTCCGACAGTGGCCTGCCCAACCGGGTCGCCCCCCCCCCCCCTCCCCCACCACCCCGCTGTTCACGAGTAACATGTACACCACAGCTAGGGTGGTGAAGCCAGCTCCTGCCCAACCGGGTCGCCCCCCCCCCCCCCCCCGCTGTTCACGAGTAACATGAACACCACAGTTAGGGTGGTGAAGCCAGCTCCTGCCCAACCGGGTCGGTTCCGCCCCGCTCCCCCCCCCCCCCCCCCCCGGTGTTCACGAGTAACATGAACACCACAGTTAGTGCGGTGAAGCCAGCTCCTGGCCTGGCACAGGAGCAGCAGGCAGCATGCTCCAACATCGTCCGCGATCACACTGAGCGCGTTCGATTTTGCCCACGAATCCATTTTTCGAATCCGTTTATGAATTACCCCTGGCTATTCTCATCACCCCATGTGAATAGGATGAATCGATTACGTACCGATTCCAGGGCTCATGACATGACAATCGAACGACTTGAATACACGAGACTCCATTCATGAATCAAGTCATGGGCATAATCGAAAGCACCCAGTGCAAGGACATCTGCAGCCCGACAACAGCCATAGCCACGCCGCGCCCGACACGCCACCCGGTCCAGAGAAAGTAGAACGGAGAGGGAAAAAGGTTGTGACTTACGTTTCATCGACGCCTCGTTCTTCTCAAGCAGCTCAAAGCGTTGCACAAAATCATCTGGGCAAAACAAAGACAAAGGGTTGGTTGAGAGGGGATCGAGTGGCATTGGTACGGAAACCGCCAACAATTGCACACGGTGTGCATTGACAAGTGTTAGGGTATTGGAGAAGAGTTATGCCTGGACCACACTGCGCTGATTTTTCGGCCGATATGGACTCGTACAAAAAATCCTCAAGATTGGCATGAAAATTGCCTGGTGTGGACGGTGTTGTCGCACACGTTTCTGACAAATTTGTGTGTGTGTGTGTGTGTGTGTGTGTGTGTGTGTGTGTGTGTGTGTGTGTGTGTGTGTGTGGCCCGCGCCCGACTGCCCAGCAGCGTAATTCGTTCAGCCATGTATGCATGTGTTCTCGCCGGTTCCGTTTGCCCCACCATCTCCGGCGTCATCAGGCTGCGTGCTCCATCTTCCTCTCTGATGCCCCTCCGGGGCCCACGTGACCCCTGTGGCAGTGGCTCTACAGGACAGGACAGGACAGGTGTGTGTGTGTGTGTGTGTGTGTGTGTGCTCCTGGTCTGCTGAGGGTCGGAGCAATGGCGAACAAGCCCCCAGGCTCAGTGGCCTGGCGCAAATCACCTTTTCAACGAAAAGGGATATCCTCCGGAGATTTTCCAGGACGCAAAATTTCGCGAGAGAAGAAGTACCTTTGTGAGACTCGAGAAAGTTGAACAAGATACAACAGCAGCATGTGAGCGGGTAGTGCAGATGCAGAACCAGACCAACTCAGCGGTCGGTCTACTGCAGGAGCAAAGACGCAAAACCACCACCAACATTGGTCAACTGCAACAGCACCAGCAGGGCACTAGTGACAAGCTTTTGTGTGTCTCAGCAGCTGTTTCCACCATTGAACAAGTTCAATCTGACATGCGCAGTGACTTGGAGGGGGAATTCGGCGAGGTAAAGTCATCAGTTACAGTTTTATCAGCTAGCGTGGAAGGCACTGTCAGAAAGGCTGCAGTACAAAATCACTACAGGTCCATTCACAATATCTGTACATCATTTGGTAGCCAGGGTAAAGGCAATGAGCAGTTCAATAATCCATGTGGCATCACAATCAGCAAAGATCGAAAGATGTTTGTTGCTGATGCTTCGAATCATCGGGTCAAGGCCATCACACTGGATGGTACACACATGCACCTCATATAGGCAAACGGGACAGTGGTAATGATGAATTCAACTTTCCCAAAGATGTTGCCGTGGACGCTGATGGTCATCTTGTGGTGGTTGAGAGGGACAGCAAGAGACTGCAGGCCCTACATCGGGATGGGTCTTACGTGAAAACGATTGGTGATGGTACTATCCATAAACCATTTGGTGTGGCAGCACTGTCTCTGCCCCAGCGTGGTATTTGCTATGCTGTAACCAATATCAATGACCATTGCGTGAGAGTGTTTCGGCAATGGACGAGGAGAGTTCAACAAACCATGGGGTATTATGTGGTCCAACGGCAGATTAGAGTGGTTGTGGACAGAGATAATCAGCGTATCCAGGTTTTCACTACTGATGGAAACTTCAATACCATGTTCGGATCAAAGGGAGAGTCAGATGGTCAGTTCAATAGCCCTTCCTACAATGCCGAGGATAGGCATGGATATTTTCTGGTCATGGATCAGTACAACCATCGTGTTCAAGTGTTCACTTCCGACACATTCTCTCATGTGGCTACCTTCCGTTCAAGCGGTTGTCTTTCCAATCCGCAAGGCATTACAGTATCACCCAGTGGTACTGTGTATGTTAATGACTGGGGAAAACACTGTATACTATGTTCTAACCTTTGTCCTGGAGCATCTTGTTTCTTGTTCTACACTAACGTTTCTCATTGCTGTGAAACATGAACAGGACCAGTATTAGCAGGTTAGAGTGGTCAGGCTATACCATAGAATTTCATATACGTTTTGTATAATACATCGAGTAGGCATGACCTTGCCACCAGTGAACACGTATTGGGCAGGCGAACAGTAGATCCAGCCAAGGCCTGACCCACTGGACCAGTTTCGTCGTCCCTGATTAAGCTGATGAACATATGAGCATTGCCAATCACTGCAGGCCATGCGATAAGAAATCATGGTCGTTCTGATATAATGTCCTGACACTTCTTCAATTGGTCGGACATGCCCAGACATCCCATTTTGCTACACATGTCTTTGAAAGCCGACGTTTTCAAATTTCTCACTCAATGATGAAGGACAGCACGGAGTTTCTTCCGTGAAAATGCGCACTCAATTTCCAACATAACTTTGGTTCTACTTTACCGCTTTTGAAGATCTTGGGCTCGTTGGAAAGCTCTTGATGAGAGAATACGATGAGCCCAAACTCGCCAAGAGCACTACTTATTGTCCGCCACAACGCGCTCCAAACGCGAGTCCAGTTCCAGATCTGAGATGAGTTTGACTGCACCCACGTGCATTAAAATGCCCATGGAGTATTTTTTCGTCTCGGATCGATCGGATACTTTGTCCGTTGCACGGATATTTCGCCAGTACAACGACCGAAAACGGTCGGAAAATGTCCGACCGTTATTTCATGTCCTGCACTGTATATCATATTTGGATGCTTGAATGTGTGCTTGCATATGTGTGTATACGTGTGTGTGTGTGTGTGTGTGTGTGTGTGTGTGTGTGTGTGTGTGTGTGTGTGTGTGTGTGAGAGAGAGAGAGAGAGAGAGAGAGAGAGAGAGAGAGAGAGAGAGAGAGCGAGAGAGAGAGAGAGAGAGAGAGAGAGAGAGAGTGTGTGCGTGCCTGAGGTGGGGTCCTCATCGACAGGAGACTTGGTCGGATAGTTACGATGCCGACACTCTCCTCGCCGCCCCCACCTTGGAGTCCTTCGCGAGGCCCTGCAAACCCGCGAGTGGAGCAAACTACCGCACGAAGACGACGACTTGGAACGACTCCAAGCATTGTGCGTGTGTGCGTGGGTAGTTCTTTGAGCGGGTGTGTATAGGTAGTTCGACCCCGTCGGCCGACTTCATGTCGAAGTCAGTGTTGGAGCATCGGCTGAAAAATCGGCCTAGCATGGGCCAGGCATAACCACACGTAGAGAAACGAAAACATAAATAGAACTAGTTTCTATCGTAAAGTATCGCGAGAGAACCCGGTCTCGCGAGAGCGCCCCACCTTGATTTTACAGCCAGGGAAAGGAAATCCGTATGGTGGAGTGCAAAGAAGTCTGTATGGTGTGAACATCTTAGTATACAAAGTTCACACTTGGCATGTTTGCGTGAATGGCCAAGGTAAACTGAGCACGGATTGACAACACAGCGTGCAACATGTGTACGTGTTCTATGACCTACAGACAGGACACCACCTCCACAGCACGACCATGAACGGAAGAGTTGGCGGGGCCCTTGGTGTGGTACTTTACAATTACAAGTACATGTGTGTGTGCGCGCGCGCGCGTGTGTGTGCACACACGTGTGTATGTGCATGTGTGAGTGTGTGTGTACGGTACTGTCAGTCGCCGAAGACCGGAGCGCCGAAGAACGACCAGGCCAGAATTTCACCAAGCACAGCATACCAATGTATGCACTGTGACTCAACTGCGCCTAGACTGCCGTACATGAAAATATGAACGGCCTAGGCTAGGAGGCTGACCCCCAGTTCTTCGCTGACCGACAGTACATGTACTGTGTGCGTGTGAGAGTGAGCGAGAGAGAGAGAGAGAGAGAGAGAGAGAGAGAGTGCGTGTGTGTGAGAGAGTGTGGGATCGTCTGTCTGGACCGCACTACAACTGAACTCACCATTCACCAGCATGGCACGAGTTAGACCAAACTTGTCTGCCATGTTCGCAGACACGTAGTCCAAGATGCGGTGCTTGAAATCGGCCATTACTGCAAAAACAAAGAGTACACATGCACAATAGTGGATCAGGTCATGCCATTAGGGGGCATCCATGATTATCGATCTTTTACACGAAAAGAAAAAAAGTTGCGTTTATGGGTGGGTGGGTTGGATATAGTTTTCGCTTTGGAAAATAATATATCGATAGCTGCAACATCAATCTATTCTAGGTGTCAAGTCAATAATATATTTTTCGTTCAGGGGGTGCGTGCGTGGGGGAAGGTTGTAACTAAACTTTTTCGTTCCGTGAAAATTATCGGTAATGCCGGATGGCCCCTTATGCGCCGTGCTTCCAAGCTGAGAGCCAACAACGGCACCTGCCCATTACTGGAGGTGAAATGACACATCCAAGTTTGTAGTTGTGCGTTACAAAAAGGTTTTTGGCCCGGTTTCATGCAAAAAGAGGGGCTGTAGCCGCTTGAGAATATGGCAGTTAGCCAAGGGGGGAACATTCACTGTTTTACGTGTTAGCACAGTGAACGTGCAGACAGACAAACACGAGGGACTACTGACACCTGACCTAGACCTCTTCATTACTGCAATGTGACCACTCGGTCATGTAGTACATGCAAATGCACCCCCCCCCCCCCTACACACACACGCGTGCACCCCCACCCCCCACACACATACACAAAGCAGACGCAGGCGGAAGCTTTCAAACAAAGAGCACAAGGAGAGTCCTGACGAGCCGGGTGCACAGTTTCTCAGCACTGATCCCTGAGAGCAGAACACACATACGTATCGGCGTACAGCATCATCAGCAGCTAGCGCAACTCACAGATATCTATCGTTATTCCCTCGATCACATCAAAGGTCAGCTTGTTTCCAGTAATGCGGACGGGATTCTGCACAGGAAACGACACAAACAACAAAATATACAGCACACACCATGATCGTCTGGTCACGTAGGACAAACGCAGACACCTATCTACCATTGCACTGTTGTTCGCACTAAGCCGCACTATGCACGTCTCGAACGCACCCAGTGTTCAGGACATAGTGGACAATTGGCGTGTTCACAGCACTATGAGCCATGGTACGGGCAATCGACACTTACCACGGGCCGTGCTGCGAAGCTCATTGAGGAAGAGTGTGCGCACGCACAGACATCCGCATGCCAAACATGCATGCACGCGGGCGCACGCACGGCTCACAACCGACTTTGTTACGCACCCACTCCATACCCAATTCACACTCTGTACCTACCCCTGAGTTCTTGATCTTGTTGGCAACATCTATGCGTTTCATCTTGCTGACGAGTTCGCCATTGACGTGCGTGATGGCATCGCCTGGCTCCAGTGTTCCTTCTTCATAGACTTTGCCCTTCGGGAAAACCTACCAGACGAAGTTACAACACAAGTTTCGAGAACAAAGAGTGGTCATGTCGCTGCGCCTGTGTGTACGTGCATTGCAGACATATAGCTGTGCCTGTATGTATGCATTACAGACAGCTTTGCGAATAAGGACCTCTGATGGTGCGTCAGACAAGTGCCGTTAGTTGCAACTTGTCAGTATTCACGAAGTTGAAAGTATGCAGTGATTGCCCCACCCCCACCCAACCTTTTGGTTGGCGGATGTTGGGCCGAAATTCGATGAACAATGTCATGTTTGTACGCGCAAGCAAGAGTACATACCCCCTCCCCCCCCCCCCCCAAGAGTGTGCAACTCCCACATACCCTGCTGTCCCGACAGAATTTCAAGTTGATGTCATTATTTATGATGCAATGCTCCTTGCACCAGTGATTTACAACATGTGTACGGGTGTCAACGCATCACACGTTTTTCTTTGCAATAATTCGAACAGAATCAGATGGGATTCGGTCCACCACACGTTCCGTATTCGTCTGATAATCCGCGTACAGTGCGCATCGCATCATAAAAATGACGTCAACTTGAAATTCTGTCGGGACAGCACCCATAGTCGAGTTGCACACTCTGGGGGGCTATGTACTCTTGGCGCAAGTGAGAAGCACGCAGATCAACCAGTAGTATTCATTCACTCCGATCGATCGTAGTCAGAGCTGACCCTGCACTGGCTTCAGTTACACATGTACATGATGGTACATTGCTGCTTAATGAAATCCAGTCGCGGCACTTAAGTTTGCACCTTACACCATTCACAGCCCAGTGTTCGCAGGTGTAGGGCTGTGCAACACCCCGTACATACTTGAAGGTTGCGGCTGGATTTCATTGAGCAGAACTGTACTTGACAGACCCAGGCCAGAATGCATGGACTGTATGAGATCGAAAAGAAATGCGCGTGCCACCGGCGTGAAGCACGGTCACTGGATTCTCCCTGGGTCGTTTGCATCGTAGCCGCTAAGGGCCGGGTTCCACTGCGGCTCCACTGCTCGTCTTTCGCGGCTTGAAACGTCATCATTACCATAGTGATCGCGGCTCGAGCTGGAGCAGTGAGGCCGCGGCTCACCGCGAGCTTTCGCTACGATTCTTGACCAAAAACTGCGAGCCGCGGTTGCGGCTCGACCTGTTTCCCGTACTTTGCATTGTTTTGTACGCCAGAATTGTAAAATTCAAATTTTAATTCGTTGCGCAGGCCAGAACACGAGGATTTTTTTGATTTCGTGCGCACGCGCAGGCAGGTGAAACATCATCAACAAGTGTGGACCACGACCGCGGTACCGCGAATGGCGAGTGTCAGAGGAACCGCGCTGCTCCGCTGCATGCAGCCAAGTGCCGCGGAGCAGCGGAGCCGCAGTGGAACCCGACCCTAATGAAGCGTTGGTTTTTCGTGGGCAGCTCCCTCGAAATCGGAAAGGCAGGAGTACTTTGCTTCAGTCAGAGTAAGTTTGTCTTATTGCTATACCGTAGCGTTTTGGAGAAAATTTTCGAGATTCTTGTACACTAGTACATGACTGTATAACTGTCACAGTACTCGGCTTTCAGGATTGCTCCGTACAAACTTTGGAGCAGGGTGCAGGTTTTCGCGCTCTGAGGCTCCCACAGTTTCTCGCCAGGAAACCGGCATCAGGCCGGCCTGGTTTCAAACATTAGGTATAGTAGTAGTAGTAGGAAACTAGGTAGACATCGGATAGCTTTGGCCTACCTCCGCCATGCCTCCAGCAAAAGCTGCCGTTCGCGGGCTGACGGATTCGGAGGTAAAATTGTTGTGCTCCCTCCCCGGGATCGAGTCTTCGATTTTAGACGTAGTAAAGACGCTGGCAACATTTGTGACGGAGTCCGCAGACCGCGAGACACGACTAAAGAATAGGATCGATGATTTATCGAGGCAAATTGCAGGCCTGAACGAGGAGGTTGTCGCCCTCAGGGAGTCCGCCATTGTCGCAGCAAGTGCTTCTCCCCTGACTCCTCCAGCAGTTGCCCACAACCAGCACAGCCAGCGTACGATGGAGAGTACAGCGGGAAGGACCAGCAAGCGTACCCGTACTCGCACAGGCCAGGCTGCCACGTGTACCACTGATGCAGACGAACACCGTAGCACTTCCCGTAGCGTGGGTGACCCTGCCAGTGACCATGAAACGTCAACCGAGGATGAGGACAAGTCCCAGGCAATTGAGCGGCCCACTGTCAAGCCCAAGCCACTGAAGCTAGAGCCAATCACGGATGACACGTGGAAACTGGTATCAAACGAACCTCACAGAGTGAAGAAAGCCGTAATCTATGTGGGCAATTTGAACTCACATAGCAGTGAAGAAAGTGTCAAGGAATTCACTGAGCAACGCTCTGCAGCAGTAAACAAACCGGTGAAGGTTCACCAGTGCAGCATACACACCACAGAAGATGGGAAAGTGTCTGCCCGCTTGATGATCGATGCGACTGACCTTGAAATCGCCACTGCTCCAAACTTTTGGCCTCGCCCACTGTACGCGCGGGTTTGGCGCCACCGTGAGCGTCCGAAGGGGGACACCTTGTCCGGCTCACACAGTGACACTCTCAGTGATGCTCCAAAGGGGGACACCTTGTCCGGCTCACACAGTGACGCTCTCTCCGAGTCCTCCGACACTCAAGCTCAAAGCTCCAATTAGATCCTTTCGGATCCTGCTGACGAACACATTTGGACTACTGAGTAAACTTGGTGACTTTCACCATGCTGTACACGTTCACCAACCTGACATTGCCATTGTCACAGAGAGCAAGCTAACCCCTGAGAAGGCTACTGATTCCGAACTGTCCTTGCCTGGGTACTACTCCCCACTGCGGAAGGATCGAACAGCTCATGGAGGAGGAGTTGCGGTTTGGGTTAAAGCCAGTCTGGCCCTCCGAGAACTCGATGACATCCAGGTCGGTAATGAGGAGCTAATATGGCTGAGTGTCAGAACTGTGGATAAGAAGTCAGTGGCTGTGTGTGCTGCATATCGCTCTGGCTCCTGCCACGACAATGACATCAGTACCCTTGAAGACATCAGTGCTGGCATAGACCTGGCCCGTAAATCTTGTCAATATGTGGTATTGGCTGGAGATTTTAACGTACACAACGTGGATTGGCTCGGCAGCACCAAGACAACTCATGCAGGTGTGTACACTGAAGACATGTGTGCTTTTCACTGCTTGGAGCAGCACGTGCATGAGCCCACCAGGGGCCTTAACCCACTCGACTTAATAATGACTGACCTACCGGGAGATGCGACCGTCAATACCTTAGCACCTCTCGGAAACTCTGACCATGCCTGTGTCCTAGCTGACTTTCATGTAAGCACAGCAGAGGAACCACCAGTGACCAGAACTGTCTGGCGTTACCAACGCGCAGACTGGGACAGACTCCGCCACTTCTTTAGAACAACAGATTGGCAGTCCACTGTCAGTGATGATCCTGATGCAATGTGTATGCACTTGACCCAGAATATTCTGGAAGGAATGCGCCGATACATACCGTCTAAGCAGTTGTGCATGAAACCATCTAACCCCTCTTGGTGGACACCGGAATGCACTGAGGCTGTAGCACAGAAACAAAGAGCATGGAGGAGACTCTGCGCCGACCGGTCAAGTGCCCAGCTGCAAGCCCGTTACAATGTCGCCAAGCACTCGGCTAACCATTGCCTAGCAACTGCCAAGCAGGCATTCACAGCAAGCCTGGCGCAGAAGTTAGCCTCTGGGTGTATGGCGTCTGGTGAATGGTGGCGAACCATCAAGAAGGCCTCTGGCCACGGAAACAGCCCATCCATACCTACTCTCCGCAGCACCGATGGTACGGAGCACGACACCAACCGCAGCAAAGCAGAGTGCATGGCCGAACACTTCGCCAACAAATGCAGTCTAGGGGCAGACGACCTATCCGCTCCATTTCCTTACGTCCGACCACGTACTGACCGCAACCTCTGCACCGTCCGGTTTCGCGAGACCACAGTCGAGCGAACTCTCCGCCAGCTCAACCCCACCAAGGCCACTGGTCCAGATGGGATACCTGCCCGCGTCTTGAAAGCTTGCTCTGCAGAATTGGCACGGCCGCTTTCAAAACTATTTACATGCTGTCTTCGCTCCGGCATCCAGCCACAACAGTGGAAGGTTGCAAACGTAGTTCCAGTCCACAAGCGCAAGTCTAAATCGTCGCCATCAAACTATCGACCAGTGTCGTTACTGAGCATCCTCTCCAAGGTCATGGAGACCATAGTCAACAGGGCAATGAGCAACTTCATGGAGACGAATCACGTCCTGTCAGAACGGCAATTTGGCTTCCGTCGCGGCCACAGTGCAGCAGACCTGCTGACTGCTCTCCACCACCAGTGGGTGCACACCGCCGGAGATAAAGGAGCTTCTCGAGTGCTGGCCATCGACATTGCTGGAGCATTTGACCGGGTGTCTCACACTGGTGTGTTGCACAAGGCTAGAGTGTATGGCATCTCGGGAGACCTGCATCGGTGGCTCCAAGACTACCTCTGCAACCGCACACTTCAAGTCCTCATCTCCGGCCAGACATCAGCCAGGCGCCCAGTTAAGGCTGGGGTGCCACAGGGCAGTATCCTGGGCCCCACCTTATTCTTGGTCTACGTCAACGACCTTGAAGACCACCTCCCAATCGGCTCCAACCTTGCCTCATTCGCCGATGACACAACCCTATACGCCGAAATTGCAACGCTCGCTGCTGTTCCTGACAACGCTAGAGTACTCCAGGCTGCTGTCGACCTTGTATCCAGTTGGGGCTCGGATTGGAAAGTGCAGTTCGAGCCAGCCAAATCTCAGGCCCTTACAATTTCCCACCATCGTCGGGACTGGCCAATACCCCCCATTGTCTTCAATGGAACTCCTGTCGAGGAGCAGCCCTCCATCAAAGTACTCGGCGTCACGTTTGACCATCAGCTAAAATTCAGCCAGCATATCCGAACTGTTGTAGTCCGAGCAACGCAGAGACTTGGAGCCTT